ATGGAAGACAAACCAGAGGGCTCTCCCAAGAGGGTCGGCCATGGAATTGCTTCCCCAAAGGGCGCTGCCACGAAAGAGGTCCACACTAGCATCACCGGGTCTTTGGATGAGCCCTCCTGCACGGCCAACCGCGAGGTCCAGCCCCACCCATCTCCCACAATCCAGTATTCGGAGTGGTTACCGACACGGGGCCAGCTGAACTGCCTTTCGTGCCGGGTCATGAGATGACGAGTGGTTAACTGAAAGTGTCTGGTGCCACCATCCTCTTCGCCAAAAGCGCAAGCGCACAGAAGATCACCCGCCAAGCCTCCCGATCACACCCGCCAACCGACCAAGCAATGCACGGTTCATCAACAAGCCAGGCAGAAACACACGATCAACAACATCTTTCTGAAGCCAAAAAACAACTTCATCTTTCCATTGGATCTTAACATCCATGCATGCACCAAATGAAATCTGAATAAGGACTCCATGACAGTTCGAAATTCTTACTTACACTCCTAGATGCCGGAAAACTAGAACCCAAAACGGATCCCTCAACTTTCAACCCGCAACCACTAACCCCTAGGACTGACTCAATCATACGAAGACCGTCCATCGTCTGATGCTCGAAGCCGAAAAGGCCTCTGAAAGGCGGGCATACTGGATCAAGGGTTAAAACCTCCATTGTCGTAGGCTTTGGAACTAGACTACATTCAGATAGTGTTTTTCAGGCTTGGGGTTTATGTTGCTTATAGGTGGACCAAACTGAAGGAGGGCTTGCATTACAGACTTAGCTGCTAGTGGGGGGTACGCATGGCCAAACCCTGATCCAGAAGCCCTAGTTAAAATCTAAACATCCGCAGACCCTAGTTCATCAACATGCCGAGACCCAAGATTCCATTCCTGAACAACCACCTACATTACGTAATTAAGCCGGCGCTGTAGCGATCAAACCCTTTGGGCCTTTTCTTAGCTGCTTAAAACGCACAAACGCAAGCGCTAGCGATTTTAAAACGCAACCCTTGCAATGTCCCAAACGCACCTTACTTCCTCTTCCCCGAGAGTTCCCAAACGCAAAACGCTAGCGATTCGGGCGGGACTCTCCCAAACGCAACCCACGACAAATCATCGGTGAGTGATGGGGATAGGCATAGCAGCCAACGATTGGCCAATCAGCTAAATGATTTTTGCGCATACTCCAGATCAAGCGCTAAGTGATTATTTTGGCACGAGGAATAGTCATTGGTGAATCTAGCGTGTGCATTATTTTACGGACCTTGTAGGTTTGGTACTTAGGAGATTGGAATCCCAGGTTTTGCGGGTGACGACTTCCAAACGCTAGCGATTGGGGGTTTGTTATAAACGCTAGCGATTTTAAAAAGCTGTGATTTCAGCAACTAAGGCCTTTTTATCCCGGAGCTTTGGTTTTGGGTTCTTCAAATGCGAGTGCTGCGGTTTGCATTGAATTGTTACTCAGTAAGTCCCTTCTTGGAAGCCTGAAACTCCAACACCCAGATCCCCGCAAAAGGCCACAAGGTGGCACGAGAGTTGGGATACAGCGATCCAAATCCTAGTTCGCGAGCTCCGCAGGCAATAAACCCATCTTGGAGCTGGCCGGATTATCGTATAGGCTCTGGGATTCATCTTTGTTGCTTACGGGTTTATGCGATGGGAGGCGGTTCCTCTGCTCCAGGAGCCACTAGCGTACGGACTCCCTTAAACTCGCGCCACAAAAGCCTCAAGCTCCAAGCCCGCGAAAAAAAACGAAACCCTGATGAACCACTGAACCAGAAGCGGCCTCCAACCGATTAAAATCACCCAACAAACCTTGAAACCAGAAAGCATCCTTCCCCCAAACCCTAGAGCAAGAGGATATGCAGCGGAACAAGCAGCCTGATGCCTCACTTGTTGGGCATCTACCATAAACCCTCTCACCCCCTGAATCTAGTATAGAAGCCTTGGGTAAGGGCTGGGCGTATTGATTGAACTGTGATTATGATAAGGAGCCCTAAGGAATAGTGTGGACAACTGCTCAAGCATCTATACCAGTCCCTGACCCATATGCTAAAAGCAACGACTCGGCACCCCTACGATTTCTTTGGCGGAGGCGCGTCCGTGACAGCGGCCTCGCCAAACTCGGTAGATGCGGGGTTTGAGCTTGTTGCGCTCATGATTTGAAGTTCTTGGTGCTTATGAATTGAATTTGTTCGCTTTATCGTTTGAGGTGCTTGGGTGCATAATTGGCATTTGTTGGGTTTCTGATTTGGGGTGAAGACTGACTGGTAACTTCAGGATCTAAGTTGACAGGGATTGAGCTCTGTTAGGGTTTGAGGCTTAAACACTTCAGGGTTTTTAAGTTTCAGTGAGGAAACGACTTGTGCAGGAGGCGGACCGCGAAACAAATGCGTGCCAGCGGCATCCTTGCATTTCAGGTGTCAATTCAGAAGCAGAAATTTAAGGCCGGATGGTATTGCAGATGAGAACTTTACCACCCACCAGAACGACAATTAGAATCATGTTCCTAGGCCAGGGTAACATTGCCGCACGTGCATGCTCCTAACCAGCATGCATGGATTCTGCAGCACGAGTTCAGATGAGGAGATTTACGCGCTTGAAACTCCGGAAACAGCCAGACGAGGTCTCCTGCTTCGAGTTCGCACGACTACTAGGGCTCAGTTCGGCTCCATACGGTGCAACGAGTGGGTTTAAGTTTGGGAGTTTGGATGCGGTGACCAGGCTCATACAGCACAACTAAATCGAAACTTCATGTGTGCAATTGCGTATCTATGTATACGTGAGTGTTAGTATGTTAGTATATATTATACATATACGCACACGTGTAGAATGCATGTGCGTAGACACATGTGAAAACAAGCAAATAAGTGGAATTGCCAAAACCAAGACACGGACAATGAATGGATACATGCCCAAGTTCATAAACAGCTACCGAGATCTTTCGCAGGAGCATCACTGCTTCTGCGGTTTATTTTTGAGGGCACTATTTGGACAAGCGGCTGTCGTCTCAGGCGCAAAGGAGCTGGTGGCCGGGGGCTCCGTCCTGCACTGCACAGCTTTAGGGTGTTACGGTTTGGTGCTGACAGACCACTTATGGCTCAGAGTTTAGGCTTCTTCGGCTTTATGGTTTATGGCTTGGTCCCTGGGCTTCGGTGGTAGATGATTTGATTTTTGCTTCTCGGGATCCCACACCTTAAACCACTCAAACCCAAACAAAGCCTACCCCCTACCCTCATATATCCTAAAGGGTAGTCTGAATCCCTCTGCCTCAGGGCCAGCGTACATCCTGCACTGAAGTGGTGCAGTACATGGGACTGCCACAGAGTCAGAGCTCTGTAAGAGCAGCCGTCGGTATCAGTAGGAGGTACGAGACATACTTTGGCATCACTGAAACCATGCAGTATTCTCCGGAGTTATGGAGAGCTGAGAGAAGGATGATTTAGCGCTAGGGCGGGCTCTTCAGGTTCTTGCCTCAGTGCCGTGGTCGGAAATCCTTGCCTTGTGGACTGCGTACGAATCAATCGAAGTTGTTTGGGCTAGAGCTGTGAGCACCGGAAACTCGACGAAGCCCGAAGCCGAAGGACTTGAGCTGATGCTCGCCCACCGATGGAGCCAATGTCTCATCCCGGTGCTTCCAGGAGTCAAAATGCACCATTGACTGCTGTGGAACCTGAACCCTCATACTGCCGGGCTACGAGTGGCAAAGAAACGTGTGTGAAATTTCTTTGTTGGATAATACCCTAGTATCATGCTTCGCTAGGAGAATGAATGCCAAGTTTGCTTGGGATTGACGAAGAGGCTTTCTGATCCCCAGAATATCGGATCTGCCGATTGGCCCAGGGGGGATATGTCAGATGTCTCCGTGATCCGATCGTCATGTATCCGGGCTAAAAAGATTTGCGCGGCTGACCTTGAGCGCGCTTCGGCTACCAAATTTCGACTTATGCCGACCACACATGCTTGCTTGTCCTCACACTTCATGAGGTGGCCTGCTGTGCTGTCCGTTCCCAAAACTTTTACGTACATGCTAAGACAACTATGAATGACATGAAGCTCCACCTACGCTACACATCCTGGGTGCAGGCACTGCAAGCTGCGGCCGTGCATGGTTGAGCGAGAAACACATGTAGCCGCATGTAGCTGTCGAGTCGGAGCTTCTGAAGACAGTGTCATCGGCTTATCTCATCCCGACTGAAACAACACGCACATCAGCGGCAGCATTGTTCGGCATCGGTGAGGCTGTAAGAACCGTTCATGTGCATCTTCTGGTTTTTCATGACACAACCCATCCCTTTTCGATTTTAACGACGCGATGAAAACTGGATAAGGACCCCACACAACCCTGCTGACGCGCTTCCGTCGTGCCTTTCTTTTTGTCTTTGCTCTGCTTATCTTCCGTCGACGGTCATTGCGTGAGACCCCCGGGCGCATACAACGCCCTATTATGGGATGCAAGCAATGTGGGCAGCTACATCCCAGCAGTGCTCCCTGCCTCTCCTACAAAGACCTAATCGGCGAGGGCCGCAACCCTGCGCAGAGAAATCTTAAGCGCTCCTCTTGTGCTGTGAGCTAACCCGAAAGTCATGTTGCTAAGCCATAAGGGAGAGCGCGCCGATCGACGCTCGTCCATCAAGAAGCTTCCTGCTACGAACGCAGGCGTCGCCTCGAAAGATGCTGTCGGCTTGAAATAGTTGTCAAGCTGCTACTAATAGCGCGAAAGCTTATAACGACTCACACGGGTCACATACTTGGAAGGTCTTTTGGATGAAGACCCGGCCCAGTGCCAGGCAGCAGAGACGCATCCTCCGACAGCGGTCTGGCAATGGAGTGCCTCCGCACGGAGAGCATGCCCTTTCGCGTCAAGGCAAGGGTCCTCTGGTAGCAAAGCATCATGAAGCTCTGCCGCTCGCCCTTCAGACAAGTTGTGTTGCCCCGTGCGTTTTGCTTCCGTCAGCTGCACGCCAAATCATGGCGCGAACAGGGCAGATGTGGCCCGTGACCCAATGATTGTCCTTCAGAACGCCTTTGAATCCAAGCTTCTGTCTGCCTGTGCTACCTCCAGCTTCCTCACTTGTGCTGTTTGCGAGGCGGCAGGCCACAAGCCCCTGAGGCCTGACATGCTGATTGCCAGAAATCCGCTCGTCGGCGCCGCGGACGAGGATAGCACTGAATCAGCCGAACATTGCCCACGCATCCCAGGCGTCTGGAGTCTAAAGCTAGCAGGGCACCAGGGTGAGGTCACTGGTGTGCGACGGCTTCTGGACAACAGCCGATTATTGCAGAGCGGCTGCAATGTCGGACACTTGATCGGAAGCTTCGAGCACTTCGAAGAACTTGGCAAAAGGCTTGGACTTGCAGACACGTCAAATCCCAAATATACCATGTGCCTCATTGGAATGTTGTTGATGATCTCCTCGTGCTCTCAACATCGCTAAACTCTGTCCTGTAGTTGCGACGCATGGCTTGACCCTCAAGGAGTAAGCTGCTGTCTTCTCCTCTCCCACAAAGTTGCGCGACAGCAGAGCTCAGCTGCTGTCTAAACTTCTTGTGCCCACAAGTCTTTGTCGGGTCCTGAAGACGTATGACCGTCGTATCTGACGACTGGGCGATGTTCCCCCCTGTTCGAAGTAAAGGCGCCGCAATCCGAGGGTAGAAGCTCGAAGGGCAGTTAAGCCGCAGTCAATTGCAGCCTGCACTCCAGCACCTGAAAGGCGTGTCTGAGATTTATGATAGCCGGAATCGCCAAATGAGGGCGCGTTGTTGAGATATGTGATGAGCCGAAGTCGTCAGATGAGCGGACGTGTTTAAGATATATGATGAACCGGAATCGCTAAAGAAGGCGGTGCGTTGAAAATATATGATGAACCGGAATCGCCAAACGAGGGAAAAGTTTTGCAAGTGGGCTGTAGGTGTGTGGGCTCAGAGCCGGGAGGCTCGTGGAGCAGGTTTGCAAATCGCCGCACAGGAATGCCGGCTTCCTAGATGCGAAGTCTTCTTACAAGCTCTGTCGTGGTTCTGCTTTGCCACACTCTGCCTGAGATCGGGAGTGTGTTCTTGCGTCTGTTTGGCGAAGGAGCCAGAGATAAGCTACAACTTGAGCACATACACTTCGGCTCTAAGCAGCAACCGACCCTAAGCTACACCCAAGAAGCATCGACTAGGACGGATCGTGCGCTTTGCGCCTGGCCTCAACCTCTCAACTCAAACCGTTTAGTTCCTCTTCATAAGCGACATGGGCGTAAGGAGTGGGAAAGAGTGAGGTACGTGCGTAGTTCAGGTAGGCCGCATGTCGTCAAGAACTGGGGCATAGAGAGAGAAGAGTACACGAGCGCCACGAGTCCGAGCACCTCAACTCCAGCAGGAGAGCCTTCCTGAACTGGATCTTTTCCTTATGCATCTTCATGCCAAGGCTTTTGCATGCTGGTGCTTTGGACATGCCGTTTGCAATGCGCTCTCCGAGCAAACAGCTATAATCCTGGAAATGCAAAGCCGTGGACTGGCGGTGACTATACTGAGATCAAGCAACACCTGCGTATCCCAACAACGTTCCTCGCAACGTGAAGGGAACCTAGACGTCTCCAACATTCCTTGTAGCCATAACGTCATGACCTTGCTCCCATCATCCGCTGCTGAGACATGCGTCAGGCAGTCTGAGATCTGCAAGTATGCATGCGCATGCGAGATCCTGACGCAGTCGCGCTACCATGTGACATGCAGCTTGATGCACTCATGTCGAGCCGTGGATGAAGGAAGGACCGAGGCGATGCGAGAGAGCTCCGGTACCCGGGCTCAATCTCCGACAAGAGAGCGAATGCTGGCAGACTCTCGTTTGGACTCCCCGTCTCAGATCGAAAACATCTCACACAGGAGGCACTGCTCCCTATCAAGATCAGCTAGCCAACGGACCAAAACGACCCAAAACCGCGAAACCAACTTCCACTGTCGCTGGCTGCACACATCCCACTCCAACCTACAGATGCTAGTTTAGGAGCAATGCATGGCAGCGGGAAGGCTACACCTAAGAAGAAGCTAGTCCCCGCGTAGAGATTGATTCCATGCTGCGTGCAATAGACAATGTCGAGAATATCAGGGCAATTCAGGATGGAATGTGCAGTGGTGGGTCTGCCGATACTGCCGCTAGGATTTGGGTCGCACCCCTTTGCAAACATGGAACCCAGAACAAGCAATAACGTCATGACCTTGCTCCCATCATCCGCTGCTGAGACATGCGTCAGGCAGTCTGAGATCTGCAAGTATGCATGCGCATGCGAGATCCTGACGCAGTCGCGCTACCATGTGACATGCAGCTTGATACACTCATGTCGAGCCGTGGATGAAGGAAGGACCGAGGCGATGCGAGATAGCTCCGGTACCCGGGCTCAATCTCCGACAAGAGAGCGAATGCTGGCAGACTCTCGTTTGGGATCCCCGTCTCAGATCGAAAACATCTCACACAGGAGGCACTGCTCCCTATCAAGATCAGCTAGCCAACGGACCAAAACGACCCAAAACCGCGAAACCAACTTCCACTGTCGCTGGCTGCACACATCCCACTCCAACCTACAGATGCTAGTTTAGGAGCAATGCATGGCAGCGGGAAGGCTACACCTAAGAAGAAGCTAGTCCTCGCGTGGAGATTGATTCCATGCTGCGTGCAATAGACAATGTCGCGCATATCAGGGCAATCCAGGATGGAATGTGCAGTGGTGGGTCTGCCGATACTGCCACTAGGATTTGGGTCGCATCCCTTTGCAAACATGGAACCCAGAACAAGCAATAACGTCATGACCTTGCTCCCATCATCCGCTGCTGAGACATGCGTCAGGCAGTCCGAGATCTGCAAGTATGCATGCGCATGCGAGATCCTGACGCAGTCGCGCTACTATGTGACATGCAGCTTGATACACTCATGCCGAGCCGTGGATGCAGGAAAGACCGAGACACTGCGAGATAGCTCCGGCACCTGGGCCCAATCCCGGCATGATCACGGCATGAACCAGTGGATGTCCGCGGAGAACAAGTCTCCGCGTGTGTATCCGTCAGAAGCTGAATTCAGCCGCCAGGTGCGCACCGGCAAAGAGCAAGATCTGCACACAAGCTGCACCGGCAAGGCCCTGAAATGTTTCGGGTTCGGGGGCCGATGTTTTTTCATTCACCTAGCGAAGACGAGCCCGCATGCCGACTGAAGCGTGGGGAATGCCTCGCAACCGAAACCGACATGTAGCAGCTACGGGCAAGAGCACCGTCAGTTGCAGCTGAGACCTTCCCGTTCCAAGGACAGCAAGGCTTGGCTTTGCAGGATCTCATAGACGTAAATAAGACTCGAACGTGGAAGTGTTGTATTTTGCTGCCATCACACTCTTGAGCTATTCAAACCACGGCCAATCGATTCGGAACTGTCTCTGCCAGGACAACCACCTTCCTTGAAAGCTCCTGTATGTTCCTGTGCTTCATCGGGAAATTGCAGGTTTGAGATGTGTTAATGGCAAGATATGCCAAACAAAATGCTATGGCACATAAGTCAAGGAATTGAGCTCCGCAACTGGACAGACACTTCCAAGAGGATCAGCTCTTCAAGACCGCTGGGGCTTGGCGGTCCCAGGGACTAGGATGCTGTTCATTTTCTGCCGATTCCCAAACGCTTCCACGTAGCCACTGCCTAGCGCGCGTCCTGGAGCTTGTAGCTTCTCGCTTACGACACTACGAGCGCATGATGGCAGGTAGCAAGGAGAGGACGGAAACGGCAGTTGGATTCGTAAAAGCGCCCTGCGCTGTATGAGTCTATGTCGTACTCAGGCATGCTATGCTGCAGCCCTGCGTTGGGTGCATGGGACCTCTGCTTTGTTGACCCTAACCACCTTCACATGGGGGATGGCGAGGCAGGCAGTGTACTTGCTAGTTCCAAGCGCACCGTTGCATGCACAAGCCTCACAAGGGAGATGTCAGACATGCCTGGCAGCGGTGCTTGCAGGTCGTCTCTGATCACGCTTCCGTTCTGGGCCTCCATTCCACTATACTCCTATTCCATGTGCAGGTGTTTGTGGCTATCGGTCCCTGACTTTTATGCCACACGGACAGTTACAGTTGCGGAACACAGCAAAGCTTCAAAGGATAGTGGCTGAAAGCATGGCACCGCATGAGTCTCAATCTCGGATGCCAGTCGCGAATGGCACAGATCAAGCCAAAAATTGATTGGACTTGCGCGCTGATTCACGTAAGTGCTCTGCACCGATAGTTGGTTAGCTGTTCTTAGAAATCGAGTTTCTTGACATTTTGCATATTTCGTTACTTCGTTCTGATGGTTTGGGACGAACCCGACGCAAAGGCGGAAGTGCACAGAACACAGGTGGCTTGTTGGAATGGCCATGCGGTGCAAGCGACCGCACGCCGGGCGGGGGCTCATCAAGCCAGGCATACTACACTAAGCCAGAACAGCCCACGGCAAACAAAGCTCAAACCGTCCGCCTGCTATGCCATTCTTGGGGCCTTTGCCTTGGCGGATTCTGCGATGCGTGCCGCGCTCAAACACGGCCCTGCCACGCTTTTAAAGCCCGCTGTCGTTGCAGTTGCAGCCGCTGCAGTGCAGACTCGCAAGCCGCTGCTATCCCCTGCTTCCCATTTGGTCGAGAAAGCATGAGACTGCCAAAGCACTCCTCTGACCAGTCGGACAAGAAAGCAGAAAAGTGCCGAAGGCTGTAATTCAAGAGCAGCCTGTGGCAAACTGGCTCTCTTGACTGCAAGTGCCAAGAGTCGGGGCAGCGACCTTGCAGCAAGCGGCAGTGCGACCCAAGCATGCGGACGTTTTTCAGTAAATTGCAAACCTACAAGTCCTGGTGCCACCAGAGATCTCAGGCACGGCCGAGTAACAAAGACGGTTTTTGCAAAAAACAGGTCGAGCAAGCCAGCCCCTGCACAGCATTGCTTCACAAGACAGCGTCCATACGGGCCCTCCGCAGAGCGCAGGGATGCTGTGGTCCCCTCCAGAAGCCTCATCGGCATACGCCGGTAAAGGCTATCGGTGGCCACAGGCCATGGCACCGCTGCGTGCCGTCACGAACCAAACCCTGCGGCCAGTGGCGTGCTTTTGAACCATGACCATCCAGAACTGCGCGAAGTTGTGATAACCTTTGACAGGCTCCACCTGAACTCAGGCAAAGCCGAGCAGAGTGCACCGGCAAACTGTATGATCAAAGTGCTATGCTTCAGGGTGCCTGTCAGAGGTCACAACTGTGTTTTCGGCCATGCTTGTCGGAGCGTTGCATCTTCTGTTGAACATGCTCAAGCTGGACTTGAACAAGACCGGGAACAAGAAGGACAATTTTGCGCATCTGTATACACCTGCGAAAACTCGCGCCAGAGGAATGTCACTAGCCATGAAACCGCTGATATAGCTTCCAACCTGTATTGGCAGCTTGGAGAACACTCGCAGCGCCGACGGCTCCGATGGTTTGGGGCGAACCCGATGCAAAAGGCGGAAGTGCACAGAACACAGGTGGCTTGTTGGAATGGCCATGCGGTGCAAGCGACCGCACGCCGGGCGGGGGCTCATCAAGCCAGGCATACTACACTAAGCCAGAACAGCCCACGGCAAACAAAGCTCAAACCGTCCGCCTGCTATGCCATTCTTGGGGCCTTTGCCTTGGCGGATTCTGCGATGCGTGCCGCGCTCAAACACGGCCCTGCCACGCTTTTAAAGCCCGCTGTCGTTGCAGTTGCAGCCGCTGCAGTGCAGACTCGCAAGCCGCTGCTATCCCCTGCTTCCCATTTGGTCGAGAAAGCATGAGACTGCCAAAGCACTCCTCTGACCAGTCGGACAAGAAAGCAGAAAAGTGCCGAAGGCTGTAATTCTAGAGCAGCCTGTGGCAAACTGGCTCTCTTGACTGCAAGTGCCAAGAGTCGGGGCAGCGACCTTGCAGCAAGCGGCAGTGCGACCCAAGCATGCGGACGTTTTTCAGTAAATTGCAAACCTACAAGTCCTGGTGCCACCAGAGATCTCAGGCACGGCCGAGTAACAAAGACGGTTTTTGCAAAACACAGGTCGAGCAAGCCAGCCCCTGCACAGCATTGCTTCATCACAAGACAAGAGTCAAATGTATTCTCTACTCATGGTCGCGGGATCGGGATCGTGGTCTGCTTATGCATGTCTTCGGTGCGCGTTGCCGGCTCCTACTACACAAGTCCCGTTCTGGCAGTAGCGGGAGGCTTGTAATCACAAAGCAAGTCTGCGCTGCAAGCTCATACTTGCAGCTCGAAGTCGAAGCACTCGCGGGGCATGATCCAAGTGAAGCCAAAAGCTGTGCACGAATGCACCCTGAGTAAAGTCTTAAAGGCGCACGCCAACTGGGCTTCGACGGCCCATTTTAGTGGCTGTGGGCACGCGTGGGCCAGAAGAAATGGACATATCCGGTGGGTGGAAGACAACCAACAAGCCAGTAGGATGCATTTCCCGGTGCATGGTCGGCTGGAGCTGCCTGAATGCCGGGGGCAAGGGTGAAAGCAGTTTACGAAGCAGGCGTGCTATGCCAAGGTCAGACCATTGAGGTGAATGCAGGAGTTTGGCCTTTGCCCTCTGAAGCAGTTCTCATGCCAACCGCCGTCTCACTCACTCGCACCCTTCACGACCTCAAACCTCATACACGCAACCGCAGCCAAAGCTCCGGGGCAAGTGGTCAGAACGATGCGTTCGATTCGCGTGTCGAGATGTGCCAGACCAAGCGGAAATGGCCCAGGCTGGTTAGACAGGCTACATCAGGCTACAGAAGCATCTGGGCATTTGGACGTAGGAAGCAAAAGTTCGGCACCAGACCCAGAAGGGAGCTCTGGCCGAGCCCGACCGAACAATCCCTGACTATGGGCTGAGCCTGCGAGCTGAGGTGCAGATGCTCTGAGCATGGCGGTGGATTACATTGATTACACGGCGGCTTTTCGAAGGCAAGGTCCCCTCGCATGCCCTACGCTTTTTCAGACCCCGCACACCGGCGTCACCTCGCAAGCAGCGGCCATGCGACAAGAGATCGAGGAGTGGCAGCTTTTGCCATTCCATAGGCACAGCTTGCACATCCGTGCCTCTGGCGACACCCAGAGAAGGCCTCAATTCAAAACGTGCAAAGAGAGCGCGCAAAATCCGACGCTTCAAAGCATTTCGAAGCCCGCAACACCTCCCTCCAGCTTTCGCTGTGGCCAAGCCTTCAGATCTGTCCTGCGGCCTCCGGGGCAGAGTTGAAACGCTTCCCAGGCCTAGGCTTGATCCTGACCCAGGTGACAGCAATCTGCTTCTCAACGATTGCACACGAAAGATGCTCAGAAATCACAAACTTGAAGCATCTGGCTACGTCAAGCCACATTCCAGGCCCAAGGCAACAAGATTGAGATGAGCCCTCAGGCTGAAACTTCAAGCCGAGCCGATGTTGCTGGAATAAGACTGGCTCACTCTGGCAACAAGGGAGTCTGGAAGGCCGCTGCAAACAGAGTTTAGAATATAGATTCAAGTTCGGGACAGGCATTGGGTTGAGTTGTCGGCAGGCTCTTTCTGTGTGAGGTCGTAAGACGTTTGACGCAAACTCGAAGTTTGACGCCAACCAATGCCACATTCATGGAAAGCTCTGAGAAAGCTTCCTCCACACTCGTCGCCAGAAGGATGCGTGTGGGGCCGAGTGCGCGGGGCCAGTCCAGGAGTTGAGTGTGCAGCACTACAGAAGCTTGGGGTTGCAGCTTTTTCAAAATTGGTTTCAGGCTTTGTAGCTTGGTTGGGTTAAACTCCTGCTGCCACTCACGAAGCACGGCCCGGCCTGCTATTCCGGTTTGGATATCACTAAGTCACTGACTAACATGTACCACGAAGGCACGCAGATGTGCTGCAACTCGAGTGCACGCATCTGTTTTGAAACGGTTCGAGGTCGTACCACTTCACTATCAAGACTGTGTGGTAGCTCATCAAGCCGAAGGGGCGATTGCCTGACCGCAGCGCCTAAATTTTCATGTGGAAGCTGCAGGTCTGAAGTGAATACAACTGCAACAGCGACAATCTGCAGGAGGATTGTGGGAGGTCATGCTCCCTGCAGAACCAGTATTCACACACACATGGCAAATCAGGGGAAGATATCGAACATCGATGCCAGCAGTCACTTCATGGGCAACCGCAGAATGCCGGGCCCTGAAGAAAACAACACTCCAAAGGTGATTTCGCTCCTGCCGGAGAACGACGTTGGGCCTGGACCGCTTGTGTCCTCGTGTGCCAGCGATTTCGGCACTCCTTCTCGGAGCCATGCGGAGTGGGGCCGTGGTTCTGAGCGCATGCCACGGTTCCGCCCCTGGACGTCTGCAGAATGAAGCGTCCTTCTTGCTACAGTACTTCTGCGTGGGCCCTAGCATTCTGGTCGGGTTCAGCCTCTCAGCAGGAAGGCTGCGCAATCCGAGGCTCCCTAAGTCCTCATCCGCAACAGCTGCAACCCTAAACTGAATAACTGCCGGGGCCCAGAACCCAAAGATCCCAAGTCATCTGACCGCAAGTGGTTGCTCGACTGATGCGAGCTGCACGATCTTATCAGGAAACCTTGATTGCAGTGGGTCTACACGCCTCGTCTAGGGTCATTGTGAAAAAAGCCTACAGGCCAGAGAGGAGGCTGCGAAGAGATTGGTAACAAAACATCAACGTGCTTTGAGAGTGTTTCTGCATCTTATCTATGCGCGTACATGTCCAGTAGCCTTCGCCGCGGAGGTGCCAAGGGGATCGAATCAGGGCACGATGTATTCAGCCGAAAAGGTATGCACGGCGCTCAGCACGCACATGAAAGGAAGTGTGCCTCACTCCGGCTGGACTTCGGCCCCCGCAGAGTGTTAGAGCTTGATCCCGCGACTTCCAGTGCTTAAAGCGGGCTTGGCGCCTGGAGTTGCAGCGTGATTTTCAAGCGTCCAATGCCGGCCGGTCTCGGGCCGCAAGGGCTGCAAAATGATGCAGGAGCGCGACAACGAACGGTCTCGAGGCGACAGGGCCTCATCCGTTCGTCCGCGGTGCGACTGCTTCGAAAGTGAGAAACACGCCAGATGAAAGACTAGAAGCCCTGGCGACTTCCATGAAGGGACTTGCAAAGTCTGAAACTGGAGCCAAGCAGGACAAAAGCATTGCATGACAAGTCGAGTGGACGACGCCCTCCTGGACCACTGGATTCAATCGCTGCGACCTTTGGCCCGGTGGCTCGCGCAACAAGAATGCGCAACAAGGGTTCGAAGAGACCTACTGCGAGCTTTGAGGTGCAAATCCTTTTCTTGTAGGTCTGCAGATCTTTGGGTCAGGCCCATGTGGAACACCTCTTCGTGTACAGCACAAAGAGGAGCACTAGTCTGCGAGCATCTCGGATAAGGCCCTGGACTGAAGATATTTGGGTGCATCCAAAACGTCTGCACCCGGAAGGCCTTCCTGAGATCGAACTCATGGTTTCGGGTAGGCCCCGAAGCGTCCTGATGCTGGCACGGACAGGGAGCTTTGAGAGTGGCTCAACTGGCAATTAGCCGCGCACTAGACAAGACCGATGCGATGCATCAGCCAAGATGTCTCCTGGCTTGCAGATGCTTGCAAGGCCTTGCTGGCAGCCCGCAAGTTCCTTAATTCAGGCTTTGTTTCAGCGCTCCGGGAGGATGCGTAAGCGGCCAGAAGCCGGCCTTGAACTTGCGCCACGCCCCTTGTAAAATCTTGCAGAGGGTGGGCAAGAGATGAAGACAGGATACTTCGGCAAGGTTTGGGATCAGCTTCCTTGCCATTAAGTGCCATCTCGCAGGGAACGGGGGACGCTTGCTTGAACACAGAGGATGCACATCCCTTGACACAGATTCAGCTCAGTGATGGGTGATGCTGAATCCGCCCGGCTAACAGCGGGGACCCCACAAAGTGGGCGACTTCAACACTAGCTCTTCCTCTAGGCAGTCTTTCTTACGGGCGCGAGCGCGAGTGGCAAGCTAGGTGGCAGGGGCAGCTGCAGATGATCAAGCGCCGTGGGAATCCACTCGCTTCCAGCACGCTACCCTACTCTACCACGCCATGGGCTCCATGGATTTCAAAAGCAGCAGGCTTTTCGAGTGCCGTCAGAGAAAGACAGCACTGTGGGTTTCACGAAGGCCGCTTAGCAAGAGGAGGGGAGTCAAACATTGGAGCGCGAGCACTGCGCCTTCGAAGGCCGCTCAGAAACCACCACACGACGGATTTTGTAGTCTTTCGGGCAGGGCAGGGGTGCTGAAGTGCAAGCTCATGGCCGGGCGGATTTGGTACCACTGGAGCCATTATCCAAGGGCTGCCACCAAATCGTCTCTGCAACTAAAGGTGGGGCGCCACATCGTGAAGCACACAGAGCATCACAGCATGTTGTGAGAGTCCCCCAAGCTGGCAGGCGATGGGAGCACACGTCTGCTGTTTAGAATGTCCCACGTAACCCGGAATTCATGCGGCTTGAATATCCCGGGAACGGGTCAGACGCTAGGCCTGCCAGGCCCAGCAAACACGTCCGGAAGCCCCGTACCTGGTTCGGTTGAGAGCAGAAGCCAAGAGGCCATCAGCAGGTACCGAAAGGAATTCGGCGAGAAGCTGAGAGTCATCTAAGGAGCTTTGCACGAATGGCTCCACACCCCTCGTGCTCAAGCAGTAAATTGCCCCAGCAGCGCGAAAACAAACCATCAGCTCAGATCGACTTCTATTTGTAGGATCTGTCTGTCTATTTAGCCCCGAACCTACATCCGATTCCGACATCCTACAAAGTCCTCAACACTTCCGATGCCCGACGGGCACCATAGCCCTCCCCCTCACAAAGGATGAAAGCCAGAATCTGACTGGAATTCAAGCTCGCGGACGTTGCAGGCCGTGACGCCCGGGCTGGGATATACCAGCGCTAAATATACAGAGCAATGGCCACCGGCACGCAGACGCTTGTATCGAACAGGCCCTCACAACAAGAAACCACTGGCGGCCCATACTGCCTTAGACGAATACCATGACACCAGAAGGTGGTGAGACCCGAAGAATACCGAAGAAACGGTGCGGTTTCTCAGATACATGTATCTACTCATTACACTGAGCACCAGAGGAAGTGCAGGACTTCTATGCTGGAGTGCTCCGGCTCAATGTCCTGTCGTTGTCGAGTGGTACCTGTCGGGGTTGCTGTTACTGTGAAGGCCCTGCACGACCTCTTGACATCAACCTTTCGGCAGCAACTCAAGATTCTGAAAGGAGCAGGATCAGCTGCGACGCTGCATGAGTTTCTCCATCCGTCTTGTTGCTGCTTCGCCGCCGCGACGTGAGATGCGGACAGGGACTCCCTGCAAGGCACAGGTTGAGCCCCTCGAGCTCACGCTGTGCAAAGCGGAAGCCATCCAGGGAGGGTTGGTTGCAAGGCCAAAGCCGACGAAGCAACAGGCCGTGCACTGCACTTCAAAGGTGGAGCTAAGTTGCGGCTAACATGCTACAAGGCTGGGCTTCAGAACAGAGGCCGCGCGAAGACCGAGTACACAGAGAAGCTTAAAGAGGACCTGGAAGCCGTCCGTTGGAGCCCATGTTCAAGGCCGTGGTCGTGCGCCGCTAGCCACGCAACGAGTCATTTGCTCCCGGGAATGGCAGGACTTCAAGGACCTTCACAAACCCAAGTCTCGCAATCGTGAAACTGCTCTCGCACTTTTCCTGGAAGGCTGTGGAGAGTCTCGTGGAAAGTGCACAAACTTTTCGATCTTATCCTCATGCACTGAAAGCCTTCGATACTCCGGGCGGCCATCTTTCGGGACTACGTGGTGAGCAGCAAAGCCTTGATGCATGCCACTATGTTAAAGAACTAGCAACCTGCTCGCAAGCTCGCATGTAAAGGGATAGGCAGAACTTTGGCTCTCCGTCCGCAACATCTCCCAGAACTCCAGCCCTCACGGTGCTGGCAGCCAAACATCTAGGACAGGGTCTCAGTCTTCCAAGTTCCATGCTGTCCCCAGTTTGGGCTCAACTTCCCACCGCAGCCTTGTTGTAAACGTCCTCCACGCTGCAGCAGCAGCGATAGGATTCTGGACTCTGGACTGCTGGCTCACCGGGTGGCGGATGGTGCCGGCCCTCCACTGCTGATGGATGTGGAAAGCCAAACTACTCAATATCACCTGCGGCCTGCATCGCCACTGCAGCGGACGGAACATTGATCAAGATCTTATGCCCTTTCGCCTTGGGGGTAATATGAGGGAATACTTGCAGCACCGTCAAGGCGCAATTTCCGCGCATCTTGGGCTAGCTTCCCCGATCGGCGCCACTGGTATGACTTGGGAGGGTGAAGAGCCCGGATCAGCAAACATGCCTGTGGACTGCAGGTTTCATCCGTTCCATTCTTGCTACCAAGTCCACTGTCATGCACCTTGTGTCGCAGCCGCCTCTTCCCATGGAACCCTTTCCACGGCTTGTGGAGACTGCCGCGATGGCTTGTCAAACTTATAAGCTGCAGTGGGCCTGGTTAGAAGGTGAGGATGGGGCTCGCACCTGGCAGCGATTGCCAGGCGGACCTTGTGCCATCTGATGAAAAAGTGATTCGGATGCTTTGAAAGAAGGAAGTGCCCCCTTGGGGCACACGAATGGCGGTCATCATGCGCGAAGCCCGGCTCCAGAAAGTTTTGCCGGAATCTTCAGTGCCGCTTCCAACGGCTGCCATCCCTCAAGGAGCAACGCTACCACTACGCAAGATTCTCGCTTAGTCGAAACCATGCCTGCTTCATGAGAGCTTGGTGCGAAGCATGCCCATGCTTACGTCCTGTGCTCTAAGTTCCGGTCGAGGGCCCCTCTCCTCTTTGCTCCCTAGCGTTGGAGTTTTGACTTTGCATAGGTATTCCACTTTAGTAGAAGCGATCTCCGCTTATTGTCTGGTGCACTGCTATGGCTCTGAGGCCCAGTGCTGGTTTGGTTTCTAAAGTTTCCGTTTCTGTGGATCGGCCGCTTTCCCGACCCCGTCATGCGCAGCAGCACCCAACAGCAGCGGGTCAGCCATCCTGAAGTGTTGGCCTCCATTGGTGAGGGATATCGGCACGCGCTGGAATGCCTTGCGAAACGTGCATCTCAACCATGGCTTGCGAAGTCAAGCAGCGAGATCACAGGCTTTCTCTTCTGATTGCTTCATCATCGCATCGCACTATGCGGTGGATCACCAAACATGTGCCCTGCCTAGCGGTGCCCTGAGGCTTTCGGACTTGGCATGTTTCTTTCTGTGCGTTTTCGACATGGGTCCAGCCCATGATCTCTTAAAATTTGATGCAGCTGTCCTGGTCTCAGCCGTCGTCCAGGCTCACGAAAAGACACTGACAAAGAATTTTCCCGAGTGTCGGCCAGATGCATGCTCTCACTCACAGGTATCACGCATCCTCTAAATCTTCTAACTCTAATCTGGTTCGCATCGACGAACACACACCGGCGCATGCTTCACTGCGGACATTCGCACGACAAAATGCAGCTGCACATGCAGCATATCTGCCCGCAAACCACGCTCCTGCACTACTCGGCCACTTGGGGCCCAGAGTGGCCCCGTCAGGGCGGGCGGGTGGGTTTTCTTGTGGAGAACCGCGGACGGTTCGGCACACAATACACAACACTTGCTGCATGCACATCAACACACGACAGCATGTGAGTGTTCGCCACATGCACTTGGTCGAGTGGCAGCGTGTGCAAGCGTGCACAGACTTTGGATGATGTGCTAGCATGCAGATGTTAGTTCTGCTCTTGACACCTCTTTAACACTGCACTCAAAAGCGGCTTTTGCTACCAGCCCTGGCGCACCGGGGCAGCGCAGGCCCTGTTATAAAGCCTCTGTGTTTTGACCTGCTGTCAAACGCTGCAAGGCACTGCTTTCGGACGCATGCCGCCCCTGATCGGTTGCTGGATTTGGCAAACACTCCCGCCCTGATCAGATACGAACTCCAAGCTGGGACAGGAGAATGAATCTCCCCCTGGCCGCTCCACCCGATCAAAGGATGTGGTTTTGGCTGCCGTAGTACAGCCCTAGGCCAGCGCCAGATATGACATTCGAGCGGATCGACAGGAAGGCAGAGTTCGTGCAAATTGGCCAGGTTTGGCCACCTTGCTGCGCCCTTGGCAAAACACAACGTGGAAAGCAGCCTGCGCAAGTGTTAACGAACCTGCAACAGCTTTGCCACGACAGCCTGGGACACATGCAGCATCTGGACCTGCTGGCTTGCCATGGCTTTGCAAATGTAATCCAGCAATCCAAGATGCTGGAATGGAACTAGCTAGTTATAGTTACTACTTTTTCTTAGCCGCTTGGGCCGCGCGGATCTAGAATAGCCACTCGCCTGGCCGTTCCGTGTCTTGCAGGCTGTTCCTGTGTGTGTCCAAAGGGCTGCAGACGACAGAACACTGCTCGATTTCAACTGAGCTACTGACCTTCTCTGATTAGTGTGTCTGGAGACTCGAATTCGAGCGTTGAACCCCACTCTTGCAACAAAGCACATGAACAACCTCCCAACCTGTGCGCCCCCTGGCTTACTTGAAGCTCTCCTCTCCAGGTGTAACTCACGTTATATCGCAGCTTATTATATTTGTCACCCCATGCCGACTTGCTCCAGATCGACAATGCGAGCATGTCATCTTCTTGTTCGGCCCGCGCTGCTGGAAACTATCGAAGTCGACCGATCTTCCGGTAGTCGGACATGCCCTTCATGAGTAGCCTCCCTGTATGACCGTGTAGAAATCGCTAAGATATGATTTCAACATCGCGCAGAACACGAACGCTTGGCAGGATGCTCACAGGATAACACTGAAGCCTAAAGGTTCGACAAAGTCGATTCGAACATCCAGTATTGGACATGAGGAGGCTGTCGCCAAGACCACGACCCACGGCTACCATCATGTTCGATCATGATTGAAGCTGCAACATGCTAAAACGGAAAGTAGCCCGGTTGCCCAGCAGCTAAACGTAAACCAAGCAAGTACCTAGACTCTAGACAACAAGACAATGGCCGCTGTTGCTGGACAGCCTGGGTGGTTGTAGTGCTGACGTCTTGGTTCCATTGAACATGTTTTCCGTGGGCCGGCAGCACATAAGAAGTCATGCACATATCACGGATGGTTCCCTGTTGCACTTGCCACCTTCGCTTGATCTGTTCTGGCTTCCAAGTGTTTTTTGCCTCCTGCATGGCGTCCAAGTGTTGAACTTATTGATCTTGTTCTTCTACTTGGTTCTGCTACATGGCATCCCGGCCGGAAAGGCGAGTTCTGCGATCGGGAAAGCAACGCTCCTGACTGAGTACCTTTAGAAACGCTGGGAGGGGGTCTCTTACCTTGATATCCCTTCCTTTTCTGCCAATCGACAAAGCACAGGGCTGTGCACCGTGGGGTCGTGCCCGTGTAGCCGATGGTAAGCTCAAGACACCGAGTCGTCGGCCACCAATTTCGCTCGAGGGACGTTTCCGCATCCAACATCGCACTCAGGCCCAGCGCTTGGAGCCGAACGGAAAACCGTCACAACTATCAATAGAAACCAAGTGTTAAAGCCAGTCGTCAAGCGGATTTGGCGAAGTGCCTATGCAGTACTCGCCATCCGCCACCAGCACCCACTCAATTCAGGTTGCGAGCACACGGTGCAGGACCACGGAAGTGAGCACTTTCTGTGCTGAAGGTCGAGGTGTTTGGCACAGTTCGTGACTTTCAACGCCCTTGTGTACGGCTCAAGGCTCATGCAAGGCGGTTGCTGCCCAATCTAAATAATCAGATGACTTTGGCATCCTGGTCTTGGCAAACCCGCTGGGGCCATCAAGCACACGCAAATAACTAGGAATTTGCGCATTGTCTGCGCGAGTTGGAAGCAGCGCAGCCTCTCCAAAGACAGTATGCCACAAGCCACGCATAATTCCTTCCCACGTTTGCCCTGTACATTCAGCGGCAGTCTCCAAAACAAGCAACATCGCATGTGCACGTTGCAGTGATGCTGAGATGCGTTCCGCACTGACGAGAAATCGGGGTGTTTCATACCCGCTTACGTGGCCATGGATGCCAGCTTCTAGCAAAACAGCTCTCTCGCACGAGTTCAATGGTTTTGGCGATGACCGTGTATGCCCAAGCTGAACGAAGTCCGCACGAAGCGTCCTCCGGGCCAAGCTCCGCACGACCAACGTGTACAGCTGCTGTTCGTACTCCACTGGTGGAAGCGATGGCAAGTAGAGTAGAAATGGTGCTTCGTTGGAACCATACGTCAGCAAATGCTGCAAGATCAGTTCAACCGGGCAGTCTGCCACGGCGGCTGCTTCAGCAACATCTGGTTCGCGAGCGCATTTCTCCTTGAAGTCGGCTGCAGACAAGACGTCTGGAAGGCCCCAAGGCTTCGGAGCAGGACCACAAGTGTCATAAATCACTATTTGCACGGCCGCATTTTCGGGAATGATCTCAGTCAGCCATGTCAGACTTTGCAGTCCACATCGGCAGGTCACGATGTTTGCCTGAATACCATCGGAACGGGTTTCTCGTCGCCGGGGCTCTGCTGAAAGGAAACTTTCCTGCCGGACAATGCTGAACAGGCCGCCTAATCTCTTGATCCTTCTCTTAAACCCGCCATAACGGAAAATGCCGCTTCGATGTTCCCGCCGGCGGCTGCAAACTGAAACAAGGAAGGGCATTATCGACAAGCAGGTGCATGCAGCTACCAGTACTAGTAGCAGTCGTCGTCGAAGGAGTGGCAGTGACATCAACAAATACAATTCGTAGCAGTAGTAGTAGTCGTCGTCGTCGTGGTGGTGGTGGTGGTGGTAGTAGTGGGGATGTAGAGCCGATCTTGGGGCAAAAATGGCGTACCTGATCTTGCCCATCTTGCTTTTCAAGATTTTGTTGCGGGATGGTAAACAAGCCTGCTCGGCATGCGGGGGGGGGGGCAGGATTGGCGTAATTTTACGGTCATTTTATTAAACGTGGTGACAACAAAAAATATTCCCCGGGGCGTATTTTTCCGGGCGGAATCGGGCGGAAGAGGAGTTTAGATTGCGTAGCCAGAATGGCCCAGACAACTGATCTTAGAACTGGTGTCGGATCAATAAACAGGGTGACAACAAACATATTACCCGCCCCAAATCCTCCAAAAAATTAGGATCCCGGCTAAGTAAATAGCAAAAGCTGAAACTAAGAGGACGCCAAGCAGCAGCAGTAGCAGTAGTAGGGGTAGTGGTTTTTTGTCACTTGCATGGCACGAGAAAAAACAGCTCCGCGAGGACTGAACGGAACTAGTCACAACGCAGCCTACTACCCACAAGCAGACACAAACAGTCTTTGCAGGCGTAGTGGCAGTGGTACTGTAGTAGTAGTGAGGAGCAGGAGCGGGAGTAGTAGAAGTACTAGTACTGCTACTTGTGGTTGGAACGGTGTCCGGAGTAGGCTAGCAGGCCCTAGCAGTAGTTGATAGGATGAGCAGCTCATCACTCGGCTGTCTGAACCGGCTAAAGGCCCAAGCCGATTGTCCCGTCTGGCGGTGCAAAGTCCAATCAGCATCGGAGCATGCGACGAAGGAAACCCTGTAATTCATAGCATCGCACACCCACATGAACTTAAATGGGAGTCAAGCCCTCACATCCAGGATAATCCTGCGGTCCTACGGTCCTATTATGTCCTATTGCCTGGGACACCTTACGCCCTTAGGAACTCAGCATCGCAAACCATTCAGAAACATATCATTTTGCAGTGGTATGTCCTCAAATTTTTGCTTTGCGAAGTCCAGTGGCCACGTGCGCCCCAGGGCTTCCAAAACTTCCTGCGGTACATCTCGCAGCTGTGACATGGCCTGCGCCACCAAAGCAGCGGATTCACCGAACCTCGATGATCCATCCATGAACAGCAACGCCTCCGCGTACAAGAAATTTGCCTCAGTGTTGCTGGTCGCTGTGTAAAACCTTTGCTACAACAGGTCTCGTTGTCCACCAGCCTGTTACATCCTGTTACAAGGCGACCCGGGGGCGGCAAACGAGACCTTGGATGCTGGCGCCAGATCCAAAGTGCTTCTGCCCATCACTTTTCGACATGGAAACAGTTGAGGTTTCTGGGATGAGACTACCCTGACATCCCAGAAGCCAGTACACCACGATGCAGAATGATATCAGAGTTTCTCGGCGGAAACCAGCGGAAGCCGAATTTCATTGACAGCCTCCGCATTCCTACACTGATGGTTCAAAAAGGTTCTAGACTCTGGCGAACAAAACGTCGAGTGTTCGACCATAAACTGATTGAACTTTGCGCGCACACACGCTGTGTCTGTGTGTGAGAGAGAGTAGGGTGCGATCATCGCCCTGGTCCCGACATGCCGGCCAGTCTCCCTGACAAGCCAGCATGCGGTCGGCGGACTAAGAAACCCCCTCTACTCTGGTCGGGGTTTGCAGACAAGGAAACAGCTCGACGCACCCGCAGCATATATGCATGCGGTGCACCAAGCACCATCAACTGATGCGGTAGCATGGTGTGAAAAGGCGTGTCGGTGCCACAGCATCTCGACATCAGCAAGCAAAGTCATAGACTCGCGGTAAAGCCGAAAAGCTTCTCAAGCCAATGGGCGTGTGCGCTTGTCTTGTTTGCACTAGCCCCGGACTCATGAAAGCCTTTGACTTATGGAGCACACCGCATGTACACATGATATCTGATACGATACGACGCTCGTACCGGGGTGTTGGCTGGCCGGGTCCGTGCATTCAGTCTGCGGTGCCTCTCTATCACTTTGAACCGTCGGGAGTATCGTGCCGGAGAGCTTTCCCAAACATGCATGGCTCAAGCAATATCCATCAAAAGTACTATCCAAGCTAAAGTTGCCAAGATCTGCATAGGCGGGCATTCGGACAGTGTGCGGCTCTGGAAGTGGTCCGGCGAGGTCAGAAGCCACATGGCCTCTTCGAACGGAGGCCGCGCTCCTGAAAGTCTCAAACCGAGACATGCAGTGTATCGCAGTTGGTGTGCAAAGTACTTCGATTTTCGCACCATCTGCCTTCGACATAGTGGCCGGTCACCAAGCGCTGAAAGTCAGAGCCCATCAACCGGAAATCTTCGTTGCAGCGACCGGCCTGACGACATCCGATCGGACTCCGAAACAGTGATTGCTGGCATCGAGACTTAGTGTGCCCCCCGCCTCCATCTCTTTCTGAGCTTCAGCCGGGCCCAAGCTGGTGTCGCAAATCACATATCCGACACGGTACGTGAAGTAGCACCTGAAACAAGAGACCACTTCATCTACGAACCCCCTGCAACAAACAGATTTTCTCCCTCTCAAAGAGATTGCGAAAAGAGGTTATGCTTCCAGCAGGTGCCAATAATTACAGCCACAACCAGCAAGTCATACCTTCCAGGGCACGCATTTGCCAGCTCGTTCTTTGCTGGCAGAGTTCGACCGTCGACAACTCGGAAGAAGGCGGCCAGGAAACTCAGGCGAGGTGTCATGGCGTCAGCTACAGTTCACGGAAGCCGCGCATAGCACCCTCCTACAGCGGCACCTCTCCTGCTACTGCCACTATTGTTCTGCATGCGCTGACCAGCCGCAGTCAGCACCGGATCCACAATGGCATTTCCGATCATTCTGCAAATACAGGGAAATGTTCTTTTGCACCGCTTGCATTGCATCTCTCAGATTGCTGGGGGCGCCGTACCCCAATTCACGGAGCAATCCTGCGGCCCGAGATGCACACCTGTGCCTGCGAGGACTTCCAGCAACAGATGATGGGCAGCTGCTCGGAATTAACAAAATCAAAGGAAGCAGGGCCGCCTCTCGCAAGCATCAACGGCTGCACTCACGGTTGCCGCCTAGCCGCGACATGCTTAGTGTTCTTGCTCTAGTCTTGTTCATCCCTTCTCGCACTCTGTGGTCAACTGTGTCTGCAATGCCTTTTCCTCACTAAACGTACAAGTCGCTCAATATCCACCCTGTTTGGAGCTCTGGATAAATCTCGAATTTCTGTCTAGAGTCTAGAGTTCGCTGCGATCTGGATTTCCTGAAACAGCTATGCCTCTTCGCGCGAAGAGCATGAGTGGGCACTGGCTTGACAAGATGTTCAAGCGACTCTGTACTTTCAGTGGTTCCTGGCTTCATGCTGTTTTCACAAAAGTCAGCAGACTATAAGCTGAAAACACCCGAGAACTTATGAGTTCTCTCCGCATCCTTCCTACTGCCGTGGTGATAACCTTCCATCCAATGGCAAAGCTGCCAGTCTGCCCGGACCTGAGAGCACCAAGTGACCGGTACCTCATTGTGACCCTCCTCACCACACGAAAAGGAAGGGCAATAAATCATTCGTGCAAAGCTAGATGCGACTGGACGTGTAGAGCCAGGTGTGACCAAACACAGCAGGGCCCAGCACAAATTGCACCCCGTTCGAATCGAATAAAGTTTGTGCATGCCGCAAGTCACAGCCTGCCATAGAGACAACATCAGACAACCGTGGTGACTGGTGCGGCAGTTCCATGCAGTTCATGTTTGCTGGCTGAGCGGACTTAACCGTCAGGAAATTCCCGTTGTGGCTTGGGCAATCGAAACGCGACCAAGATGTCCTTCACGAGGAAAGAACGAACCGGACGAGGTGGGCACCCCTTTCACTCGCTGACTCGCGATCCTGACACTCACACCCTACAAAAGGCCGTGGTATCAGGACATTTAACAAAGCGCTGCGGGAGGCGAGTTTTAGACATTCTCATCTCAATGACTGGTCACGACACAGAAGCAGCAGGTTCTACACCCACCAGTACACCCGAATGTTCCATGTCGGCTGTTCCGGGGACGACTGATGCGAAAGTGTCTCGCGCGGCTGCTGCTGGTCGGTGGTCGGAGAAGAGAGCCAACGAGTCCACACATGCGTTTAAGGATTTGCTGCCCGTGAGGGGAGAACCTAGTCACCTAGTCCAAATCCGTCATAGACTCCAACCCTTCCAACCCAAAGCATGCCCGGCAACCTCTGGGCCCAACAGCCGATCATCCCGGCTCTGCGCTTCTGAGAGAAGCAATGATGCACTGACCTCAAAGGGTTTCCAGAGTTCGGCTCGAATTAACTTGGCGAAGTCGAAGTTTAAGCGGTGGGCCCAGCAAGCTTGCTGCTCAAGAGCCGCAGCTGCCACATTTAGAGCGAGAGCATCTGGCAGCAAAGAGCGCCTTGTGTCGACTCGACTTGACATCACGGAGGCCCGGGCCCCCTCTCAAAGGCAACAAAAGGGCCTCTGCAGGATGCCCATGATCACAAGAACTTCGAGCCAGCGCTGATGGCAGGCGCCGAGCACCGAGTTGAAGCCTCGCTGCCAAAACTAGCAAACCAGCGGTGCTTCAACTCTGCTCGGCTGCTCGGGCAAGAAGCTTACAAGTGTTGGCAGTCGCTGCTGCGGCTGCAAGAGGGGCCCAAAAATGTGCAGAGCTTGATTCCATCGAATTCCTGTCAGGAGGTTCAGCATGCCTGTGCTACTGCTACGACTCTATTCTGACTTCATGTTCAAGGATGGGGAGCTCTATGAAGATCTATTCTCAGCCTCGGGTGCAAGCGCTGACGGCCGAGTTGATGGTTACCGTCGTGTAGGCCCGACGCGGCACTTTATGCTCGAACACGTCCAATGCGATCTCCCATTGTCCAGACTCTTCGCATACCTGATCTCGCACGAATGCACGATCGGCTCTCTTCGTGGCACCTTCTAACGTGCATAGCTGCCAGACTATGCCACATGTTCAAATGTGCCTTATGCCAACCTGGGTGCACTGATCAGCGAATTGTGCATGATTATGTTCGCGATCACTCCACCAGACCGCATGGCTGCCCACAGCAGCATGGCATCTAGCCACTTGCCGCTTGCACCACACGCTGCTGTGGCGGCCGTGTAGCTCACTACATCTGGCTGAAGTAGCCTCCCACGTGAAAGGAGTCAAGCATGACTCGTCATTCATGCAAGTGCTGGACTTCCTGCTTGGCCGCCTTGCTAACAAAGTGAGCTTCACCAAAGCCCGCTCCCATTGACCATTCCACTCGCAGGCGCTGACCAAGGCATTCATCGTTACGACGCTCGGAGAAATACCGCTCAACAAAAGCCTAAAGTCTAAAGCGCTGCCACACGCTTAAAGAACTGCAACATGCACGCCACAAGCTACTTCAAGTGCTGGCAGGCACCCGGACAAGCTGCTCACGGCTTGGAGCCATCGTCCAGCTTTTTCACTGCATGAAATTACGGCACTGGAAGCAATCATGTCCTCAATTCTGGCGACGGACGAAACTCAAGGTGTCATGGCATCGAAACACGAAACACGACACGTTCCTGTAGTAATTCGTTCTGCCGAGGGGCTAACCGAGTGCTGGCAGCAAGTGTCCGGATCAGGCTAACAGCTGCCAGCCACGCTGTGGACTTCTCGCAGGCACTCAGCACAGAGCTGTTGATGATGAGGCCTGAAGCGTTTGCTAAAACGGGGGGTCCTAGCACTAAACGAGACCGTGGCTGTGCGATGCTGTGCCTGTCTGATCTTGCTGCAAAGCCTGCTGCAGGATTGCGATGGCTGCTCTCCAGGTTGCCGCTTTTTCGCAGGCTGCGGCGAGGGCACCATAGGTCACCTGTGCATAGCTGCATGCAGACTTCGGGATGGCTGAAGCTGAGCAGGCCCAGGCCGTGCCTGATTGGGTAGGAGTTGCTGCTTTGTCATCGACGCCAACAATGCTAGTGCCGACAGCCACAAGGAACCCTTCCCACAGGCAGAAATGGCCGCACTGAAGATGATCGCGTCAAGCTGCAGCTTATGAGCCCTGCAGGACAGCACAAAATTGCCGTTCGAAGGGGTCTAGCACAAGCTTCCAGTTTTCCACAAGTCGGAAGAGTCGTACGAACCAAACGTGCCAACGTGTGACGCCCTTCGTTCTTGAACTGGCACCACACAGCAAAGCTTCATAGCAAGCCCGGCTCCCCGCCTGCGTGTTGATACGAAATGCTGAAGAGCGTGGTGCCACCATGTAGCATGCTCACATGCACTCACGATCGCACTATGTACGTGAACAGACGTTTCCAGCTGACCTGGGAAACAGGTGGGACGGCCCTCTAAATCTGCACTGGCCAAAAAGCCAAGCCACGGTTCAGCACGGCCTGCAGCAATCTAATCGCAGTCTGCCAGCGTCTTGTGCGACGGCACTCGACAATCAGTCTCGTGCAGCTTCGAGCATCCGTAGCCGTAGCCTCACTGTGGCCCACAGCAGAGTCCAGTCTAGTCCCATATCCTATGACATCCTATGACCATGTCCAACGCAGCCGTGCGACTGCGTCCGTACCAGCCGCAATGACGCATTGATGCGTTGACTGGGCCTCGTCAGCTTGAGAAGGCTTGGCAATCGTTTCCATACAGGGCTTCGCAGCGTCGCATCACAGCATGCAGACTGTATTCCGGTGAGAACATACGGAAAGAAACGCATAACTCATGCCAGTCTCATGCCGCTCCAACTTGATATCCAGGAAAAGAGAAAAAAAAACAGTGTGGGTTCTTCCAGCCAAGGCCGCCCCATAAGCCTGATGCAATCGCTCGCGAATGGTTCTTGGCCCAATGATTGCTTCCACTGGCCGTGAGGTCAATTGGCCTCGGGCAAAACGAAAAGCCACGGCAAACGAAACTCGGCGGCAGACGTTGGTTCCTAGACAGCTCAGCTTCGGGCTCGCCGCACTCGCAGGGCTTTTTTTGGTGCCATCGATGCCCCGGGGCCGGGGTTCTTAGACAACTGTCGCTACCTTGAGGCCTGGCAATTCGACAGTTGACGTTCGACGCGATTCGCGGGCACCGCTACCTATCACCTAAGAGGCTGCGAAAGCTACGGCAAAACAAAGGAAGCAGAGTCGATAGAGCTCGGTCGTTACTCCGTGCATTCTCGTCAGCGTGGATGCAAGCACATACAATCACCTACGTATTGCCATGAAGCTTCAACCTGCAAGATTATCGCGTTCTCCTGCTTTGCGGTGGCTCACATACAGACACACTCTTGTCACCTGTCGTGCCCTAGTCACTTGACCGATCTCATTGACTTCCTGAATGCCTCTGCCGAAGCAACAGCTCCACCATCCACGAGCAGCTTCGAGATGTCCTAGTGGCAGCTTCGCTAAATACCGAGGCATCAGACTTGAAACTTGCATAAACTTGCTACGTGACGCACTCGGCCACGTCTAAAAAAGAGGCAAGTTGTCATGTTGCGTACACACATGGTCTTTCTGGTGGAGGGGAGGGAGATGGAGGGAGAACCCACGGAGAGGAGGGTGGGTGGGGGCCTCTCCACCTTGTACAGCGACCTGAGTGAATGGTAAACGACAACTCCCGCAAGCTCCACAAAGCCAGCTTCCGTGACTTGCCAAGCGCTTGCAGTTTTACGCAAAGCGGGGCGTGGCAACAGAATGTTTCGAAGGAAGCCGCATGATGCCACCGTGTGCTGTTGGTTCAGTGGTTTGCAAGGCCTTGGCTCTGCCATGCTCTGCAGACATGTGAGCAGTCAGAAGCTTCTTTTCCTCATGATACCTGAACTCCTCAGGTCTTGATGTAGTCCGCGATAAGCCGGTGTGACACGCTAGCCACAACGATCATGTGTACCTCCTCTGAATTGCAAAGCAGTTCTGCTTGCAGAAGCCGCATCCACAGTGTCCAAGCTGTGGCCCGCAGACGTTAAATCAAGGGCGTGAGCAATCGTTCGATTGTAGCGTGCTACAGTAGATGTTTACAGCAAGATCTAGCATGAGGGCAACGCTGTGTTTGTTCGGAAAGCCTGGATCTAAAGTGGAAGCGTGGACGTTTGCAACATATTCGGCACCACGTGCTTAAATCATTTTGCACAAGAGAAGCTGCCCTTGCATTGCAGCCGCATAGCATGGGGGCAGCCGGCCACTTCAATGGCTGTGCTGCCTCTTAGAGTGATGCAATGTGCATAGCAAGTGTGCAGCAAGCCCACCATCACCTCGGATTCAAAGCAAGCCTTCACAAGCCCGGCAAAGCTATCCACACGTTTGTGCTGCGCGACGCCGGCTGACAATACCTGACACTAAAGCGAAAATCGCTGGGGCTGATACCGGGGCGAAGTGCACATGCACGCGTGTCAGGTGGCAACACTTTCCTCAAAAGGGGTCACCGTCACCGCTGCTTCACTCAGCATGTGCGATGCAAGCTGAGCTGATAAAGAGTACTGCTTCCGCCTTCCGCATGATTCAAAAGTGTGTTGCAAAGCTCTGCCGCTGCGTGTGTTGGCTTCAGTAAGCTAAGGTGCCAGCAGTTATGACAAGCCGGCCAAGATGGCATTGGCATCATCTGCACCAGGCTCTCTACTTTCGAGGGTCTGCGCGATGTTTGAGAGTCGGCTGGCAACGTGCAGGTATGCCTTGCAATGAAAAGATGGAGGGCATGCTTGAGTTCCAGTGACCAAATACAGCCCCAAAGGCAGCACAGAAGCTAGCCGTCTAGCCTCGATTACCAACTAGTTTCAGAGCCACTTTCCTGGCACTGGCAGAGAATGCCATTGAAGCAAAGGACTAGCGCACCTGCTCTAATTTGAGATGAAGGCGCTGATGCAACGTTGACCGCGTTTCCCTTTATCACGACGGTCTTTTCGACTTGATTGCCATCGATTTCCCGAATCATGATCTTCGTATCTGTTGTAATCGCAATTTGCTTGGTGCCCATACCAGCCTTGCCGATTAGCGCGCTGACGTAACTTGCTGCGCAATTGAATTGCAGGACCTGCGATCTGTCGCCGGCGCTAGCCAGACTGGGAGGCATGGCCGAAACAGCTGTCGATAACATGTCTATGTTCTCCTGCGTGGCTGCAGCTCCAGTTCCATGTGTAGGGTAATCTCTTCCACCTTTGCCTGAAAAGCCACCATCAAAGGAGTCTCTTTTGCCTTTGCCCTTTTGATAAGCATCGGTGGCGTAGCCATATGCACAACCACCGCCCTTGTGGCCATTGTAGCCGCCCATAGTTCCACCCTTGTAACCTGCATCCATGCCCTTTGCTTTGCCTGCAAGAGGTTGTCTGAGAATTGGGGCTGATTAGGATAGGCCTGGTATGGTAAAGGCGTTTACATGACATAACACATCGCCAAAGCCCTGCAAGCAAACAACTGTTCTCCGATGCTGTCCTCCATCACCCTTTCCTTTGGCCTGCACATCTCCTCCCGCAGCCAGACAGCTGTAGGCCCAAGTGCCGAACCATGGTTGTGCGGAAAGCTCTGTTACCTGCCAACGCAAACGAGTAGTCTCTCTGTATTTTGCAGTATGCAACTCACATCTTGCGTCACATCGGCGCCTCAGAACTGCCTCAGCAGCAGCAGCAGCAGCAACAGCGACAACATCAACAAAACGGCCGACCAACGACCAACAGCGACCAACAGCAACCAGCCGCAACCAAACACAACACCCCCCCACACCCGCACCCCTCCTCAACCCCCCACCACCAACACGTTGCCATCTAGGCTTTTCATGAACCCTGAAGATTCCAAAAAGCTCTTCGAACAATTATGTAAATCACGATCTGCCGTTTCAACTGTTTTAACGATCAACACGAATCCAGAAGGTGTCGGACCATTTCAGAAGCGACCCCAGAGAAGTAGTGACACGGGAACTTGATGGGACTTGGCTTCATCTTTTGGGGAACAGATGGTTCAGATTGAGCTCAATCCAAGCTAATAGTGCACTCACGACGCAAACCACATGTGGCGATATCTGGCGAGCGTGTTTTTCTCCTGCAGACAAGGAGGAAACTCCGCAATGGGCAACACTTCTCAAGAACTTCTCTCTATTTGGAGTCTGTTGCTCGCTTTCATCACGCACCCAAACTGCATTCAGTTCCTTCCGCAATCCAAGACTGATGAACTTAACGGCACATGCTCGGCCCACAGTTTCAATGATGCTTACAACAGTGGTCGGATTCGTAAAAGAGAATGGTGCCATAGTGGTCAAGACCATGTTGATGTTTATTGAACGTTTTCGTTGGTTGACTGTGGGCGTTGGGCATTAAAAGAACACCACAACCGTTTGTCTGCAGCTGTCGGATGCGGAACGGCAGCGGGAAGCAGCAGGCCTACCCGCCTAGTTCCTGCCTCGCTCCCTCGCATGATGACTACTATTCCGAAGCGCACTTGACATGATCAGCAAGTCAGTAGCATTCTGCATGGATGCCTTCTCCAAAATCATGGGCAACGCTGTCTGCATGTTCAGCAAGGGACCAGCCAGAGATATGACCTGCTCTGCTGCGTCCCCGTTGCCAAGTACCACTTCTTCGATGTGCACCTCGGAACGGGCTGCATCATGCACCCGCCCAGCTTTATTAACTCTCATCCATATCTGCACCCACACATGTGCATGTAGGTGATGGGTGGACGGACGGACGGATGGATGGAATGTATGGATGTAGGTATGTAGTCGTGCGCATGTGCTTGTGTGTATTTGTGTATGAGGGCGGGCGCTCTTGACACGGGACCCTTCCACCGAACGATTGGCAACATGACGTGCAAGATCGGCAAGGATATCAAAACACTTCTCAGCAGTTGGCTCGAGCACAATGATCATTGAATGTGATAAGTGATCGGCACTCTCCCGACTCCGCTACACGGAGGGGGTCGTGCTGTCTGAGACCGGTGCGTGGTCGTTGATATATACTAAAATGAATCTGAACTACAAGCGGTTTGCTTCTTGGTTTCCTAGTTTTACAGGGCCACAGATTTCCGATCCATCTGTACAGCCAATGGAGGTCTTGCTTCAATGGGGCCTTTTCAGATGTGAAGTCCTTGTGAAGTCATGTTTCCTGTCCTGTCCTTCAGCAGGAACCTCTTCCATGGGTGAAGGAACACAGGGACTACGTCAGGAGAAAAGGAACAGCTGCACTATGAACAGGAACAGGACAGCCAGACTCAACAAGGACAGCAACAGAACAACACGACAAAATTCAACAAGACCACAAGCAACGCTGATCTTCAGACTGTTCCCGTCGGTCGAAGATCAGTGAAAGTCAAGAGCCTCGGTAAAGTCATGTCAGGATCGTGGAAGCAACCTTCCACTTAGCTGTCGCCCAGAGGACATGCCATGCTGAAAAGACATTTGCAGCAGACCTCGTGGATCCTCGTGGTCTGGATGTGAGTCGGGAATGTGGCTGACTCTTTCATCTTGTCGCTTTGTGATCATGCTTTGGTCGTTTTCAGCTATGTCTAAACCCTAAACCCCTAAATTTACTGATCTGCTGCAATGTCATTTTTTAGGTTACAGGTCTCAAGGCTCGTCTAGTGAATTCAGCATTTCAGAAGGAACATGTAAAACCGTCCCTGCATGCAGAACTGTTGCACACTCTCTTTCACTCATGACCGACATGACGACATGTAGGACAGAAGACTGCCTAGGAGAACTTTGCAGGTACAGAGTCACTCCATTCCACGGCTTTGTTAGCATGGCTAGGAGTAAGAACGCCATGCCCCCTGCTGGATTGTTATGTTTTACTAGCCGTTGGTACAGGGATTACACACACACACACCCACACACACGCGTGCGTGCAAGCACGCATTAATACGCACGCACACACACACACACACACACGCGCGCGCACGATCACCCGCGCATGCACTCATGGAGGATCGGGCCAGAAACCGGCTCGGCAAAAAGCTCTGAAACCCGACTCGGCTCATGGCCTTCATTCCAGATGCCTGCCGCAGTCCTTTGATGTACTCCCCACCTGGTTCTGACACCACGGTCACGGCTGCCTACTTGTCATGTGCTGGCCTTTTCCGATGATGTTCCTGGCTGCGCTCGTTGGCACGATGAAATGCACCTAGGCTGCAGAGAACAGAACAGCTTGCATCGCAGCATCGCTCTTTCACTCTTTCATGCTCCAAGCAGCTCGTGCTCCGCCATCTTCAACCTCCCACTCCCCACCCATGACTTTGCCGGTCTCTTCCGACAGCTTTGAAAGGATTTGCAGCACTCCGTTTGCCACGGCGTCAGGATGCTCGGCTCGCACACAAACCTGCGCTCGGACAGCGTCGCCAGTTCACATCAAGCAAACTTCGTCTGCCTGCTGTCAGAGGCACCCCCCATGTAAAGCAGTTTCATAGTCTCTGGTCGGAAGGTGAGAAGGTAGTTGCTGGTAACTTTCCGTGTTAGTTCCTCAGCGTTCCGATTTTTGAGACGTGGTTCGTAGCTGATTGTGCGGCCTGACCGACAACTCCCAGCTGATCGCTTGCTGTTGTCTTGCGCCCTCTCAAAGCGGAGCCCCGATGCCCTGCTGGCTTCGGTTGGCGGGATACTGCACTGGAAAAATTGGCGTTCTGCCCGGCACATGACGGCACAGCACCAAAGGAAAAGCACAGATGACGCAGTCGACAGTTTCCCAACGTTGCCTTTTTGTTTTCTCATCTGAATCAACGAAACAGCTTCGGCTAGGTGCTGACAGGAGGCCTCTTGCATCTGAGTTCCCGGGTACAGCTCATTCATGCCGCTGAGATGAAGCTTGCACCCTGTGATGTCAGATATCTGCTTCTGAGTCATACCACCTGCCGAAGCCACAGGGCATTCCGTGGTGCAACATGTGTGGCAGTGTTTCTGAACGCTTCCCACCAGGTCGAGCAGGCCTTTGCCGATCAAAGTGCCTGCTTCTTTCGGTGACACGAGCATCTTCAGCGCCACAACCGGGCCAGAGCGCGCAAACTTGGGAGCTCCTTCAGTCTTTGAAAGAGTGACAGGATTGGCTCTCATTCCCTTCTTCTCGGTCAGTGACCAATGCAGGGTGCAAAAAACATGTCACATGCCGTGTGATACTCATGTGAAGAAGCGCTGTCGCCTCCTGCAGGTCCGTAGGCATCGAAACCTCTCTTCATGTCGTGACAGTTTGGCGCGGTGCGCTTGGAGGTTCAGCCTTGGCAGCACACGGCAACGGACGAGAAGGAAACTGCATCCCGCCGCGTGCAAACCGAGCTTGGCTTGGCTTCCTTTGCACAGTGGCTGGTTCAACACATTCAACAAGGTTGCTCCATGATGTCTTTACGTCTTTACAGAGTCAGGTGTGGGAGCTTTATAGCCATGCACACCAGCGGATTTTGTTTCGGTTTTGGTGAGACATGACCACTCTTGCCGCACGAAAATAATTACACCAAATCCAGGCCTCCACGCTCAAGGCTGCAGAGAGCCAGTGTGGCAAGCCGATGCCGCCCTCCCTGAAACCGAGCCACTTCTGCTGCGAGATTCCATGACCGAAAATCACTGAAGCCCGCTTTTGTGGTAAACTGCAAACGTCCACGCATGTTGCTCGACACCGTGGCTGGACATCAACTCTCGCAACTTTTTCCAATTGTCAGATGCGGCACAACTGTGGGAAGACGCGTTGGGAAGGGCTGGGAAGTGGCGGCATTCTGTACATCAACACAAGCTTAATCAGCCCAGGCCTAAATTTGGCATTGCCCGTCACAGCGGCCCACAGATCTCGCGGTCCTTTGGTACAGCACCATCGCTCACCTGACTCCAGCTAACGCGGGTGACGACGTCACCTTGGCTGCACGTGCCTAACAATTTTTACCTGATAAGCCTCGCTATGAAACACAGAACTACAGTAGTCACGATGCCACATTGACATGAATCACACTCTCACTACATTGCTCAGTAAGAGCAGAGTAAGAGGCTGCTTATGTGTAACTTGCTGCAGCTACGGGAATGCGGCGCAGGTGGCCTACTGCCAGGACGTCGACTTTGAAGACGTCGCCAGGCGAACCGCCGTCCAAGCCGGCTGCCCAAACCTTAGAATCCAACATATAAAATCCGGGGACATTGGGTCTACACAAATTTTCACATCATGCCAGCTACGACTGCCACTGTTTCGCATTGGTCCTTAGGTTCAAGTCCCGGACTTTGTCCTGGTCAATGTGGCCAAACGAGGACACCATGGCCCTGTGCACAGCGCCTCGCAACAGCGGCGGAAGTTTCAACTTGTCGCCAAAGGGACCGATCCAAATCTCTTGCCGTGCCAAGCCCAGATCTTCCTTTCCCATAAATATAAGGACCGCTCAAGGGTGTGCTCACCAGTTTTTGGCAATGACTCATCTACCCGGACTCCCAGACGTCCTAAACCGCCCAAATGCTGCTGAAATCCCACTATTGCTTCGAATCATGCAAGATCTCGAAGTGCGCCCGACCACCTCCTGATTCAATCAAACTACCCGCTTCCCTGCTCCGGTCCCAACAACAATGTACTGTCTACTTAAATGGTCCCCAGCACCAAAAAATTGACCACTGTACTCGCTCACATACCCTTGAATAACGTCACAAGCTTGTCCACGCCGGGGAGGGGGGGTTTGACACACATCAGGGCGCAGAAACATGCATCACCCAATGGTGGACGCCACTTCAGGGAATTACACATCAGCTCCGGCAATACACATCACCCCAACCTTAATCCCGAAGGTGACGCTGGACTTTGTTGGTCGTTGCCGGAAACGTCGAAACTTACCAGAACGGGCTCCGAAATGCTTAACCGCAAGGTGGACGCCGAAAGATGTGTATTTCAGCAACGCGATGCGAGTTAAACCCTCCCCTCGTAATTGCCTTCAGTTCCTCTTCTTCTTTCCTCGAGTGCCGCCTACTGTCTGCTCGTGTGTTTAGAAAACAAAGCTCCTGTGCTTGCTTCAGAACCTCGTCGGTATTGCTGCTCGCACCATGTGCACGCAAGTCCCCCTTTGACTTCTCTTTGGGTTGCCAGGTGTGGTGTCGGCTCCTCAGATTCTCACGCATGCTTCGGTGCTCGCCACGTGTGCCCGTCACCGTCCCTCATACACGGCTTCCTGCAATTCTGTCTACATGTAGTCAAACCTCGGAACTCGGTTACCATGTGCTTGTCAAAACCCAATACACAATTCAACCACACCTGGGAGTGTATAAAACCCCGTATCAAAATCATTATCCCTGAGTGTTGTTATCGTTTTATTTTCTCTTAAACTTATCGTTTTACCACGAAAAATGCGTTATCGTGTTATTTTCTTCTTGTCGTTTTCCACGGAAAACCATCAAAACCGAACACGGACATGTCAAGACCAAACTTAACAGCACGGGGTTATTACACAGTCCCACCTACCTTTTCAAGCCACACACACACACACTTTTCCAACACTTTGAAGAGCAAACAAGTCCAGCAGCAGCGGCGGCGGGACGCTTGATTTTGAACATCCGAAAAAAGCATTCCGGCATCTCCATTGTGCAAGACTTGCAAGCCCTGGGCCAGGTAGGAGCACTGAAGCCGGGACTGCACCGCTTGCAGGTGCTCGCGGGCACTGCAGTTGCACTGAATGCCTTGCAGGAACTGCAACCACTGTAAATACAGGGAGTGCAGGCATTGCAGGCTGCGGCCGCAGGACACCGGGGAACGGACATCAAATGTAGGGACTCTGCAGGCAGGGCGAGAAAGCCGATCTTGGGAACCCAAGCCGTACTTGTATCAGTTTTGCATGCACGGCGGCGTGGGGCGTGGGATAGCTCCTTCACCCGCAACCACTGCGAAGCAAACTCACCCGCAGCAGGAGCTCGGAGCGCCTGAGAATTGGTGCCTTTGGGCTTCGCCCTCGAAAGTTGGGGCTGGCCCGAATGGGGACTCCGCAACAGTTGACGAGAGCGACCCAGAATCGAAACTCGCATGGAGGCATCCACGGAACCGCACACCAATTAAATCCACGACTCGCAACCAAAAGATCATGCTGCCAGTCTGCGAGCTGGTCGCAGCTGCAGCACACCCACTCGCGAGGACTGAGCGGAAATAAATCGCTTCGTGATTTGTGCACACTCCCTCTTGGGGAACCTGCTCTGCACTTACAAGGACGCCGGAACATCAAGCGAAAGCGGTTCCCAAGGGCACATGGGTGCGGTGCGGTGGTTTACTCACTCACGTTGAAGGCCCTGAGCTCAAACCACAGCGCAATCGAATCATGTGTTCGATACGGGTTGCTGGGACGGCTCACGTGGTGTTCTGCAAGACTCGAAGGGGGGGATCAAAGTGAATTCGGCAGGTTCTGAGAGAGCTTCGTGGACCTTCCCATTTACGCGGCTCGGAGGTCTCCCACATCCCCTCGAGACGTCCGGGAGTTGGCGGAGCTGGGCTGCCTGGCGTTTCCTGGAGCCCTGTAAATATTCGGCAACAACCAGAGCACAATTGGACTAATTGTCCTTGCTTACTCGATGCCTCCCGACTCCCTTAACAATCCACCCTGTCTAGCATGCATCTGATCAAGCAGCAGCACCCCCCAAATCGGGCACACACCTAGAATGGCCTGATTGAGCCACCAGACGGTCGGGATGGATAACTCCTCGCTTCTCATGCAGAGCCAGTCGGTGTCAGCACGTGTGCCATTTGCAGCCAGGCATCTCGTCAAATCGCAATCGTTGACGAACTGAAAACCTTCAGCACCGCTTTGACCAAGCTCAAAGTAGAAGACATATGCCTTAGCTCGGCCAATGACAGGCCCAGGCTGGGTGCTCGAGATGACAGCATCATGACGTCCGCATCGAACCAACTTGTGTGGACAGGGGTATCAACAAGCAACACAGCTTCGTTGGGGCATGCAACAGCTTGTGCAGTCGACGACAATGCGGAGCTAGCCAAGATGCAACTTGTCCATCCATAAATTCTGCGTGCATCTTGTGCACTCTGCCAAACCCATTCCTTGCAAGATCGTGTGCGTTACCCGTGCCAGCGAACAAGCAGCATGTGAATCCAGCACTCCATGAGTAATTCCCGAGAACATGGCCACGAACCAATGACCCCAAGAGTGCCGCTTTGATGTTTGAGAGACAGCGTCTCGGAAGGGCCAGCCTAATGCTGCAGGCTTTGGCGAGTTTCCTAAGTTTCCTATACATGGGCGCAAGCGGGAGCCTCCCGCAACTTCTCCCAGGACACCTGCTTTACGTCGTCCAGCCTACCTGAGGAAGAGGCCCGCAGCTCTCTCCCATTCTGCCCCACACACTTCCCGCGAGTTTTAGCAATAGATCAATAGAGTACGATTATCGAAGAGTCGCCCGAGGAATCCTTGATCAACTGGCGCTTGAACCTTGCATCGCAACAGCAACATTGTCTTGTTCCTCCGTGTGCAGCCGAAGTCAGGGCAGGACTACTCACAGAAACAGATACTGAGACGATGACGATATCCGGAAAACGTCCCCGGGCTGACCGTCTAAACTCCAAGCACAGCCCCGGAATCGGCCGCAGCGATCCGGTCCTGTCACCGCACTCGCAGTTACTGAGAAATCCGCTTGCACTTTCCCAAGAAGCCTTGACCAGCATCGGAAGGACTTGCCTTTTCGCAAGGCGGAGCGATCATCTGACCCCAGTCCTGCTTGTAAAGAAACGCTGCAGATCTTCTAGTTTGTCTTCGCATGTCTTCGCCAATAGCAGTGCCCCAACTCGAGCGACAACCTGGAAGACATAAGCCATTGAAGCAGTCGAACCAGCCTGCTTAGGATCAAAAGCTGTCAGCTACCAACAAGCTTCAACTCGCCCTTACTTCCCTAACGGCCCTAACGTAGGGTCCTTTTACAGTACGTCTTCAAGCAGGCGACTTGGGAATTCTATCACGCAAACAGTCACGTCCTCATTCCGCAATATCTGGAAGTCGCCTCCTTTCTTTGTCAACTCTACCTGTCGCTGATTCGAAGTTCACAAGGCCCCTTGTGCCGGATGCTTTTGGACTGAGTTTGAAAGAAGCTACAGGGACGGGTGTGGCCTTCGGACTTGTCTGATCAGCTGCCTACACGCTGTTAGGCCGCAGGAAACTGGCCGTTGGCTCAAGACGACGGACTTTTCAGGTACATACATAAGCCTCCGTAGACCAGACATCGTTTCGAAGAAACAAAGGGTCCGGGGACCAGCCATTCCAACTCCCGACGATGTGGTAGTCACCTTGGTCTGCGCATGTGTGATCCTTACTTCCGGACAACGGCAGTCTGCTGGGCTATGTGCCCTCGGGAGCATCCGCTGCTGTATCATAGTCTTCCGTCGGAAGCTTGTCCCACAGAACCGTTCCTCACAGGGCCCAATGCAGGATAGCATTCTGAGGTGCTCTTGCTTTTCAGATGCCAAGAGTCTGTATTTTCCAGCAATCCGAAGCCGGATACGATACTTATCCCCAGGCATCCCGACATCGCCACTTCCGACTTCCATCAGTTGGAGCTCACCCGCTTGCTTTGACCTCGGCCGAAGTCAGGCTTGCGGCTGAGTGTAAGGCTGAAGCCAGTCTTGGCCCGTGACCCGTCAGACAGACTGTTGGTAATTGCCTTGGGACACATGCTTGCGGCACACGAGAACCTGGACTGGCATGCAACATCACATAGGAAGTGCGCAGTCAACATGCCTACAGCTCGCACGCGCATGTGAAAAAAGGGCCAGGAGACTCTCAAGAAGGAGTCTTTCTGTGTCTCACTTAACCCAGGCAACAGGCAACCTTTTCCGGAATACGGTGCGCACATCGTGATACATTTATGAAAAGCAGTGCCGACGCTATGGAAGTACCCAGCATGTAGCGGAATCTAGCATGCTTGGGGTGACGTGCCACACATTCAACGTAAGCTTGCAAACAGAGGAAGGCTTCCACCACAGAGCCGCCCTTGGCCGACTTTCATGGCCAACGGTGGAAGGCACCGAATCTAAACAGCCAACCATGTACAGTTTGAACTTGCTATCGCTTCGTCGCATGCAGCTCAGAAGCTTGGATTGCTTTGGAAGTCTTCTCAGCATCACCGAGCACAACAGCGGCAGCGGCATCTGTCGGCACGTCCACCCATCGACCGCGACCTCAAGTTCACTGCCGAGTCTGTCAGTTCCCTCGGGGTTGGCATCACCAGGTCTAAGCCGGCAACCTTCTATCCTCCAGTTCAACCCACGGGCCTCTCAAGCATCAATACCCAGCTCATCCAATGACACAATCATCTTCCTTGCCTTTGCAGATGGCCCATGGACGACCAAACCCTTTGAAGCTAGAGGTCTCGCTGGATGAAGCCTCCTGCCAATGACCGAATGTAAACATGAACGCCAGTCGTGCAGTACATGAGACCGGACCCTGAGAACTAATGAGAAATACATCCCAAACAAATTCAAAAAGCTTTGCAGCTCCTTCTTTCATCGCCTTAGCTTGCACAGGGCTGAACTTGGCTTGCCTTCTCCGCAATATGCCCTTGCCGGCAGGCGACAAGCGCACGTAGACAGCGCAACCAATACTCACTACTCCACAAAGGCTCGTGTGTGTTCAAGTTCCCTGACTTCACGCCGCAGAGGCCCAGTCCGAACAAGGACTTGCCAAGGCACCATCAAGGAGAATTTGAAACCTTGCGTCCATCGAAGCAATGGCTAGTGATGGCAAATGTCTGCGAGAGTATTGGAGGATGTGCTTTATGAACTGCTGACCCGGCCATGTCAGGTGCTCGACCAAAGCATGCCCGGGGCACTCAAGCAGCGAGCGTTGCTTGCATTGCTGCGGTATGCTTCTCGGACATGTCGCGCCATCGTGGCAAAAACAGAAAAGACAAGAACACCGTCGCTCAGTTTAATGAGATGTCCGTTTGTCCATCAGCGCACATTGCACATTGCTTCTCGCTGATGCATCTACGGCATTATTCGGAAAGGTTTGGAGCATTGTTCGTGCTCTTACTCTCTTGTTGTTGCATGTCCACAGCACCGCCCATCACAAAGCTGAGACAAAGTAAGACCAGGACTCTTCCCAGCGATTCTCTCCAAGGACCAGAGTGTACCCATAGGTCTCATCACCTGTGATCGAAAGGATGCTGAAGTGATGCAGCCTGCAAACAAACAAGTCCAACCTTCATTCTCCATTTTGATGGCCCTCCACTTTGTCCAAGTTCCGGCAATGAAATAGCCGCGCAATGGTTGTTGCTCCTGAAGGATGCGCAACCTAGCGCGCTAAGAGCAGCACAAGGGGTCGGACCATGGCGAACACTTCCCTGCACCATCATGTGAAGCACTTCCTCTTCAAGTTCACCTCCGCCACCGGGCCAGAAGTTGAAAACGTTGCGATTGCGCTCCGGCTGTGGAGCCGTCCTAACGGACAATGGATTCGAACTGAATCCTCGCGGACGAGAGACAGATGTTCGAACAAGGTCCTGATTTGTTGACTGTGGCCATAGGAAATTACGTGGACCTGCGTGCCACCGAAACCATGAGCCGACACGCCCATATATGTACTGCGCAGCGCTGTTTCCTGCGGCTCCTTTGCTCGCATCGTGTTCGCCACTGAAGAAATGCAACAACGGGTTCAAGACTGGCAATAACATTTAGCCAAGATGCTGTCAGCATTCCGGCTTTGTTCTCGAACTCCAGATGAGGATTCAGTTGCTGGAGATGGTTGTTTGGAGAAATGACGCCCCAAACAGCAGACAACAGAAGACGATGCAAGGCGGCAATGCCGGCACATTCTGTCGCGAAGCCCATGCGGCTCTTCACTGACGTGAGCGTCAGCGGAGCCTGTGAAGAATGGAAAGCTTTCGAAAATCCCAAGTCTGTGCGACTTGTGCCGTGACCATGGCAAACATTTGCCGCGGGCAAGACTGCAGATGTTCGAGACTCAGAAGTTTGTTACCTTCACACTGCAACTTCTGATGACATCTCAGGCTCCCGTACGGAAAAAGGAACCAGAAATGACCACCAGTCTACTGCACAGGTCTGTCAACTCTCCAACTCACCACAGTAGCCTGAACATCATCGCCGCGCAGCACACGTAACAGTGAGTCGACTTCGACAGCATCTCCTCAGGTGCCCAGATCAATACAGCGTGGCAGAGAAGCGAACATTAAAATGTGCATCCAGGTTCATTACTTATATTCCTGTCCACAACGGTCGGAGATGCTCGGATGGTGAACAGAACAATCGCAGGACCAGCTTCTAAGCAACTGCATCTTGCCCCCTTCACCTTGGAACGAGATGTTGCCTGTACAGCGATTTGGCAGCCCTTGCCTTGACTTGAGCAACAACGATCATGAAGCCAGAGAATGAATGGCAAAGGAACAAGAAGGACGAATATGAATATGAATGGACAGGAGGATGCCTACAAAACACAGGACCCTCATTCTGCGAATCATCCAAGAGTTTTGAACCTGAAATGAGCCTGAAGCAGTAACATGCAAAGACTCCTGTTGCATTGGAAAGGAGTGAGGAGATAGGGGGAGTGTGGGATCATGGGCCTTGATGCCAGTGCTTGTAAGTTGAAAATGAGGCGATGCAAGCTGGCCCTCGACAGTTATCCGTATGCAAGCAAGGATCGAAGCAAAGCTCCCTGACCATTGCATTCCACGGCATCAATGTTCAGCGCATCTAGCATTGCCTGGATGAGTCTACGTGGCTTCCAGCTTGCTACTAGTATCGGCTGGAGTGTCACATAATTACGTGGACAACTTTGCTGAACACGTGCCAAGCTTCTGTCTGCAGCGCTTGTGCAATGTTCTCCTGCTCTGACGGTCCGTGCGGGGCATGCATCGCTGCTGCCATCCCCACGCTCCCGCAAGAGCTTCCGCAAATGCTTCCAACCTTGAAGCATCTTGGAGCTGGTGCGTCCCAGGTTTTAGCATGCTTTCGAGGGTCCGATTCTGAGGCCGAAACGAGGGGCTCCCCTTCGATGTAAACTTGCTTTCCATCCACCCACTCGGCCATGCGCTTTTGCACAGCGAAGCCGCACCCATCGCCTGAGGAGTGGTTGCCCTGTTGCACGGACACGAGAAATCTGGTGCATGTGCGCAGGGATCTCAAGTGGAACTGAGTCTCCAAGAGTGTATCCTTGTGCACCTCAACTTTTCAAGGAGCGTTTGTGCAAGTGAAGCTGCTTCGGATCAGGATAGCACCACCGGGGGCAGCACTTGCATCCCAGGTGAAGCACCGACCGATGCCTGCACAAGAATCACTACACCTTCGGCACCTTGCCAGAAGAACTCCTCCTTCTACGGCCTGCCAGCAGCCCGGCAGCTTGCATTTGCGGCAGCCACAGCGGCCCGAGTTGAAATGCAACTCCTCCTGCTAAGGAGAACCTCACTTGTAGTCTCACAAGAAACAGGTGTGTGTGTGTGATGTTGTCATGTTAAGGGACAGTGATTCAGCTGCTCAAAGTCATCTGCAGTCCCACGATCGGGGAATGATCGAAACAGGGCCTTGCCTCTTCATCCTCGTCTAATGTGTTACCCTGCCATCAGCGGAAGGTCTGCTCTGAACCTCCGAGTCTAGTCTTCACAACCCGCTATGTTGGGGGTGAGGCCACCAAGTGGCTCGTTGCTAACACCATGGCCCTTTTGAAGGACTGCTTCGCCGCCGAGGTGAATTGCAGTCAGGGACGATGAGCCGTCCGTATCGCAGGTCATACTGGGGCCCTTGAGGCCCAAACCTGAGGCAAAGATTTCGATCTCTCTGGAGACTTCGTGTGGGCAGTCTGGCTACCTACCGGCAGGGTTGCTTCTGAAGTCGCGGCCCAAGAATGCAATGATTACTAGGAGCATCAAAAATGCCGGGGTAGATTCTGTCCTGGTAACTTTGCAATGTGAAGCCGAAAACGATATCGTTTTTTCTCCCACCTGCCCAGCTGACAGAGTCGCTCCGAAACTAACCGCAGGAGATGCAAGTCCAGGGTCTCACGAGGGTCACTAGACTGCAAGAAAGACGACCCACAAGTGCACAACCAGCACGAGTTAGCGACCCCCTGAAAGCCAAGCTCGCCGTGCGAACCTGCTTACAGCTTACAGTACAAGCTTCGGCTAGCCATACACAAGTACCCAGGTCCTAGGTTGAACACTGCATGCAGGCCTCAAGCCCACCCGGAGCCTGATGGCACACTAAAGATATTGTTGTGAGAGATCTGGTCTCAGGCCAGGCATCCTGCCAGCCCGATTCTTCACATGCTGCTGTCAGGTTTGAAAGTCTTCTGTTTTACCGTCCGTGTGTGTGTGTGTGTGTGTGTGTGCGTGTATATTGCTCCATCCCTAACGAATGCTCAATTCCTCTGCATGCGCCTTGCCTGTTGTCTTCAACTTTGTCAGCATGTCATGGCCATGTCACACCTCATCAGGAAAGGCTGCCAGGCAACAGAAACTGAAGCGATTCGAGTTGATGCTCGCAGCACCACCAGTTGCTCCACTGACTTCTGACACCATGCCAAAAATTGTCCTGCAAGACATGGAAGACTCCATGCAACTCATGTCCAGAGAGGAGGCGGTGAGACCTGACTCCACATCTGCCCACTACTAGTGCGAGCGAGCTGCGAGCTGCTCCCCAAATAAACACCCCCTTACGCGATTCGGATGTCATGCGATTTTGACACAACAGATGTCAAATGAAAACTCTCAGCTTGGTCTCGAGCCGATCTTGTTCATCAGCTTCCCCTTGCTGTAGCCGGCTCCATGACAAGCCTCGTAACCAACCTCCAGGACCACACGCTGGTGGGGATCCATTCCCTGAACAGGATGTTTCAACACATGGCTGGAGACGATAGCACGAGTCGTCACAAGCCATGCAGTTCCTGCCTTTGCTTCCATCGGTGACAGGCCAAAGAACTTGTTGTCAAAATATTCTGTTCCATCCACGAAAGACCCGTGTCGAGAGATAGTCTTGTACGCTCGCCAGTTCTCAACCTGACCGCAGGAATGTACCACTGAAGTGAAATCGTATGTGCACCTTGGAGCAAAACACAAGCTGATCAAGAGCTGACGAGAGTCGTCGGCATCGTAATACAGATTCACGTCCCACCTTGTCAGCGGTACTTCCGAAACAAAGTCGGGGCCGGCGGTTTGCGCCATGTACCAGGATTGCACATCCCATGTGCTGGCGTATCTCGCAGCAATAGATCTTACAGCAACACGCTGTGCGGTGTGAAACATGTGGTTCATGGCCGTCAGCCAGCCAGCCGGTAGGTCTAGCTTCTCCTTCGGTGCCTTTGACTGGACTTCCTTCAAATACCTCATCCGCTCCACAGTCCACTGCTCCAAACCACGGGCACATGGAGGCACCCAGGAAGGCTGCCCCGTCCGCTTCGTGCCTCCGGAATCTTGCCCGACCAGAAAGCAGCTCAAGATGTGCGCTTTTGAATGTGCGCAGTGCCGATGCCACATACCATCAGCTCGAAGAATTATGACACTTCCTGCGGGTCGTAAAGCTGAAGTGCTGCAGCAAACGCTCAAAACCGACTACAAGTAGGAAATCGCAAGTCCTGGCACGGTCGAGATCTCGTGTGCTTCAGCATCTTCATCGTATGGCTGTAGCTCCAAGGTCCCTCGGACAGGGCCAAGACAGAGCATGACCATCAGCTTCTTCTGGCCCAAGACTCCTCAGCACTGCATCTGAAGATTTTCTGAACTCAAACCACGCATGGACTCGAGAGCCAAGGCACCCAGCCAGTAGCCTCAGCAGTCCGCTGTCGGAAACGTCTTGCAGAGAAGCAAGATTGGCTTCAAATTCTGCTCAAGTCACTGGCTTCGTGCTCCGTGGGCTCGGGCGCATGCTCCGGTGCAAGTCCAGTCTCATGCAGAATAGGGTGAGTCCTGCTCAAATTGCCGCAGCCAAGGTCGTGGATGGACAGCCTCGGTGTAAAGCTTGCTTCGACCTGTCGCTGAGGATGGGAACTCAGCTAGATCACACCTTCCCTCACCCACCCATAGCCACACCGACACCATCTGACACCTACACCCGCCCGCAGCTGCACCGACACCCACACCCACACGCATGCACCCACCCACACGGCCACACAGCCAGAGATAGACAGAGATAGGTCTGCGACGGCAGGGGCAACCGCCAGCGTGAAGATTGGCTCTGGTGGCCCCAATGAATACAAAAATAAAACAGAGGCAATCAACTCATGATGCATGGTCCCCATGGAAATCAAAACTGCCAGTGTGGCAGCTGCCCTTCGGTGTGAATATTGCTGCTCAAGGACTGCAAGACATTCACCAGCTCAGCCATGGCTTTGTCCAGAGCGTGCAAGTGACGGACCTTCTTGTCGTCCGTCAAACCGTCCTGCGACCGGAGGCACTGCAGCCCATGTCCGTCAACCTCCTGCCTGCTCTGAAGATCACTGCAAAATGTCCGACCCATTCCATGCTCCGATCGCTCAACATCATTTATTCGTCAGAGATGGCTATGCGGATTCTCTGTGTTCCCCACCTCTTAATCTAACCCCCCTACCCTTTGAAGCCCCCAAGCTCCCACGGTATGTTTCGCTTCTTTCAATGGTTTTTGTGGGGTAGTTAAACCCAGCTTGAGCCCACCCCCCCAACCCCTCCCCGGACCCCCCTCCCCCCCCCTGCGCCGCTTCCACCTCCCCCCGTTTTTCGCCGCTTCCACAACGTTTCGGTTAGTGAATGCGAAGCGTCTAAAATTACGCAAACTCCAACGATCTCCAAAGAAGATATCTCCGAACATGGTAGGCCCTGTAGTCAAAACTTGGGGCGACCCGCGCGGTAGACAAGCGGTCGCTACCGCTACTCGCAAGACCAGGGAGATACAAGCGGCTGCATTGGCCTACAAGTTCCGACATCATCCAAGTAGCACAAGCATCTCGCATTGCACGTTTGGCCCACAGCTAAAGTATCGAATGACAGGTCGGTTGGGGAACCCAAACGGTCCTGCAAGAAATCGGCTATGAGAGAGGAGCCCTCTTCGCCGAGAAGACCGTCATGAACCTCGACCGGGCTTCGAGTATCTTGGGTCACCGCATCTCTCTGGCTCAGAGGCTTCGTCCACAGATTACTTGTCAAGATAGAGGGAGGAGCCCTCCATTCGGTGTGATACTTTCGGCTGTAAGAAGTACAAGATCGCGTCATTTGTTATCGCCCTAGCCTGAGCACAATCGCGGTGCCCAACTGAGTTCCACGGTCGGTCTACCGGAGGGCAGCAAACCAAACGCCACGGAAAGGCCCAAAGCCACGACACGTTTGGTTGCTTGCCAATCCGAGATGCGAGCAAACCTGCTCTCCCTGCAGCATAGCTGTACGTCCCCTAAAGTTAGTCGCACTTCAAGTCTGCTCCTGCCAGCCTCCTCTTGCCTATCCGGACCGCACAATTTGAACATGTCGGACATCGGCCAACAACTATCGATGAGGTGATGCGTTGCACGGAAAGACACAAATGATTTCACGTAAGATCTTCAACCAAGTTGCCATGGCTGGCGGCTGCCTCAGTATCCCCTGAGCATCCAGATCATTGATGTCCTGCAGCACAGCGGGCGACAAAGTATCCAGCTGCCGAATGGGTGTGTTTGTGGCTTCTTTGCTAAGGGCAGCTGGCAACATCCCCCATGTCCTCACGAGCTTGGCGTAGGATCTCTTCATCAAGTCTGGGATCGATTGTGCAGAAGCCTTTTGCCGCTAGTTGTGTGACCTGAGCACATGCACCCACAAGGACCACAAATGTCCGGAGATCGTGTAATGACGGTGCCAGGCAATTTCTGAAGAAACCTTCTCCACAGAACTTCCTTGAAGGACCACGTCATAGTCCTCCAGTGAAGCTGCAAGTCGCGTTGGAATTAGGTCAAGCACGACAGAGCCTTCTTGCGCCGTCCAGCTCTTGAAGGAGCCATCCAAAACAAGAAGTGCAAGTTATCAAGCTCTCTGTACCTATGCCTGTGTACGTTGGAGCTACGAGTAGGGGTTTAGGGTTTGGGGAACAGGTTGAAGCAGGTTGAGGCTGTTATAGCTGCAGATGCAACCATAATATCATTCAAGTAAACACGAAGGAAAATCAAGATGGTCTGTGAAACTAAATTCCGACACATAAAGGGCCTTTCTCGTAGCTGCAGGCCTGCATTCCAAACTGGTGTTTCTCCAAATTTCCCTCTGACGACTACTCCTGGACATTGAACCAAGCAGGCAGGATGGATGCTAAGTCAACCTCAACACGGAAAGTCCTCTTCGATGAAAGTTCCGGGCATAAGATCATCCAACATGTCGAGACAACGTCACAACGTCTTTTTGCCCATCAACGGGAGGTTACACTTGATGGGGCAGCAGCTTTCGCCGCAGTGAAACTGGTTATCACGGCGGAATGCCGTGGACCGTCAAAGGCATTTACATGAGCTTCCCTCGCGGACTGCTTCCTGAACCAGCGCCGGCTTGATGGAATCCTGGACAACGCTTCGGCAAACAGAAGCTGTCTGCTAGTCGCTAATTGCATATTCACGGTCTTGCAACTGTTGCCGATAGACTCACAGTTTATCTCGCATTTCCATCTGTCCGCTTACATCTGTTGCCACAGCCTGGTCCTGCTGTTGGCTGCTGTTGTCAAGGGCAGCAACGGGCGAAGATGTTGAGGTGCTTTCCAATCCATACGACCCACTGCCTGGACCCGTATGCAGGCAGGCATATGATATCGTCATGATTTCTTCTCCAGACTACACCGTTATCGAAACAGTTGCTATTGCCTACGAGTCGCGAGGTTCAAAGATATATTCATGATAATTTTGTTGCCCATCTATGGCACCATTGTTGCCACGTAACATGTTCGCCTGGGACTTGGCTGAAAATGGATAAGCCATGGGAGGTGGAGTTGGGGGTAGAGTGGGCAATGGTGTCGTTGCAGGAGGTGGCCCCAATGTTGGCAAGTCATCCTCCGTCATGCTTGTGTACGTCGGCATGGCCGGAAGGCGTGCCGGCGGGTAAGGTGGAAGCACAGCAGGTGGCAATGGTGGAAAAGGTGTGTCTCCAACAATCTGGGCGAGACTTGCCGCCGTCGATGCAAGCACTGGACACTTGCAATAGCAATCCTGTTTGTCCGCTGGGCATGTCCAATGTCCCATATGGCGGCCATGCATGGAGGTGACAGCCTCCACACTGCCAAGGACCACTACATGCAACCACATGGGAGGTTGCAACTTCATTGCCGCAGGGCCGGTTTCCTCGGCCCGATCCTAAGATCTCTATGAGACCGAGCCAATCTGCAACACGGAAATGCGAACAGGTTCAACGGTCAACGTGACTCAACGAAACCCTGGTGACAGCTGCCTGCCCCATGCCCACACCGTGCTCGGGACAGGGAGAGAAGAAGAGGGAGAGAGAGCGAGCCAGACAGCGAGAAGCAAAGGCAGCTGGCGAGAGAGAGAGAGAGAGAAATACAGAAGAGAGAGAGAGAGAGAGAGAGAGAGAGAGAGAAAGCGAGAGCGAGAGCATGCAAAGGAAATACAGCTAGCGAGAGAGAGAGAGAGAGAGAGAGAGAGAGCGAGAGCGAGAGCCTGAAGATCCTGAAGGCAAGAGAAAGATAGCTAGCGAGAGAGAAAAAGGAGAGAGAGAGAGAGAGAGAGAGCCAGACCGCAAGAGAAACAGACAGAGAGAGCGAGACCGAGACGGCGAGCGGCAGAAGGCTAAAAGAGCGACAGCCAGCGAGAGAGCCACAGAAAGATAGAAAAAACAATAAGAAGAGAGGACCTGCTCTGCGACATCACGCGGCCAAACTTGTGAAAACGTAGGTCCATCTTGCAGACATCCTGTGGCCTGCTTCGTCGAGCTTGCAGGTCTCCACGGATACTGTACGAAAACACTGACTTGTTCATATTTGCACGACATTCCATTGGTGCACCCTTCTCGGTTGGTTCAGTATCTCAGCTATGATAGTCAATCAATCTCAATCACTGTCGACGAAAACGATTCGATGATGCCTCACATTGCCTCAACGATTGCATTGCCGAGAAAGCTCAAACAAAGAACCAGCTGGTAGCATGTCTGGCCGGCTGGGGTGGTGACACCAGGCTGCCTTCGCTACGGCTTATGGGGTAGGTGAAATCATCTGAAATCGAAGCCGTCTGCAAGGCGTGTTTTTCTACAATTCTTTCCACACACCTTTTCCCGCCACCACGGCGGCGCCGCTCGGCGGAGTTCTTCCAGCAGCGGCTCGACGCCATCGCTGGCATCGCAGGGCCGCAACAGCAACTCAAGCAAGCTCTGCATGGGCGTGCACTCGCAAAGTGGCCAGCGCCGCCAGGGCTGTCCAGCGCTGCGTAAGTGCGGCCCCCACACGGCTACCCTCGTTTTGTTGCCAACCCGTGCCTGCTGAGGAATGGGGACGAGCCAGCACCAGGCCGTCAAGATCGGCCATCGTCCTGAAATTCCGGATATGAGTCCGCATGCATGTGTCCTTGTAGGACTACAAGAAAAGCAGGGGCTCGCAGGGCACGCAAGCGCACCAGTGGGAGCGACGAGTCGTTGAAGCACGCGAGATCACGCGAGAACGCAGCACCGTTTCGGGTGGTTGCGGAGGGTTGTGGGCGCCTTGCGTGTCGGGGCTTAGGCCGAAGTTACGTCGCAGCGCCGGGTCGATGCCACCGGCGTCCGAGCGAGCCATTGTTGCGGAGGCCCGACTGCCGCACGACCCGGATCCGCACATGCTCCGAAAAGACGCCTATCAAGACGAGGGCGGTCGAAAACGGGCGCAACCCCCCACAGATTCCGAGCGACCTCAGGCCACCGGAAACAAACCAAGTACAAGAATCCGTGAAACCCGTTTTCGCGAGCACACTGCTGAGCCACTACACAACCTGCCCTTACCAAGAATATCGTCATCAAAGTGACCATGCAAGAAGCCCCAATCCGGAAAGAAGACATGCAAGGAGGGCACATGCGGAGTGTATCACATCAACCATCGGGCAAATAGAGCGAATCACAAGAGACCCCCGCCAGATGTTCCCGTAGTGAGGGAAACGAACAATTCAGCTCGCGTGGACAGGGAAGAGCCTGCCATAGCCCGAGCGACCGCAATCGCAACTTGTTCAAACAAGCGCTGACGAACGCAACCACATCAACAAGGCGATGCAGCAAGGAAGCTGCCGAACGAGACTTGCCGCCATGGAGCTCCAGGACTTGGGTCTGTATTGCATGCTTTTCCGGACAAAGTAGGCTTCTGCTGCCCCGGCCGGGGTGCGCCGCGTGTCATCCCAGTGGCCAGGACCGAACGTATCGACTCCCGCGAAATCCTGGGAAAGGGGCTTGTCACTATTTCTATCATGCATTCTCCCATTATGGAGCTGATCCATCAGGCCGGGCGCTGTATGCGCTGCAAAAGGGCTAGCTTATGTCGCCCCAGGGCGCGCCACCGCGTGGTCACGCGGGAACATGCGGGAGCGTGAAGTCACACCATGGCGTTTGAAGTCACACCACAAGCATAGCTGCACATCGCCTTCCGCATGGCCACGTGCATCCTAGCACATTCCCGGCGCAAACTTCAATTTAGGATATCGAGTGCCGTGCGCAGGCTTTAATTGGAAATTGTGTCCCGGAGCCCTGATAAGATCCTGATAAGTCTGCTAATGTGGTATATGATCACCAGGTGCACGCGCTTTCACACATGTAACATGTAACAAGCGCCCGCTCAAAACAAACAAATCCACCCCACCACCCGCCCGGGTCACAAACCCATGGCCCCCATGTGAGGGAAGCGACAAGTGAGATGCTCTTTGGGGACGTGGCACCTGTGAGGCGGTCGGATGCGGCTGGGGCTAGCGCGGCTGCTGTGATGGCAGCTGAGCCATTAGCATAGGGTGCGGCGAGCTTATGCAGGAGGTTGTCGGCCAACTGCGGAGAGAGAGCACGGATTGCTCGCAGCGCATCGAGCCAAGAGACCCAGTGTGTGGCATAGCGGTCGGCGGTTGCCAAGCGCAGCGCGAATTTGGTCCGAGGTGCGATGCAATCCCAGCAGACCTGAAACCAAAAGGCCACATCCTACAGGCAGGCTGCCGGGCGCAGCTGTCGCTCAATGGGGGCGGGGCAGCTCTCCATCGACATTTGCGGAGCCGGTGAATGGGAGCGACAGGAGGCTTGCTGGCGGACAGGGTTGACACTGAGGTCCCGAACTAGCACATTGAGGGCGACCGTTGGGCCAGCCTCGCGCAAGACCCGTGCGGCTGGCCGCTCAACATGGCCACCCCTCGCCCTAAGCAGGCCTGAGCGCGGGCAGGCCGCGAGGTGGTCTCCACAAGGGTCGTGGGGTGCGCGCCACCGGCAGAGCGGCAACGGCAAGCGGAGTCTGCGCAGGAGAATTGCTCGGAAGAGTGGGGAGATGTGGGGAGGCAAGGGTGAACTCCGGCTGGGTGGGGCGAGCGGCGTGGACACGTGCAGCGTGCGGCCCGGCTTGCGAATCGAGCAAGGCGGCCGAGGCAGCATCAGCTTGGGCTGCGGGCTGCGGGGCGCTGTCACCCACGGGTGAGGTCAAGGGAGGAATCTTCCTCGGGCTGGGACGGCGCCTCAGCCTGTAGCAACAAACCTTTTTACCACCATCCCGAGCGTAGCAGTCCCAGTGGAGGCCCAAGTCCAGGCCGGTTGCGCGCTACAATGTCTCGCGCCTGCAGCTTGCAAGGAGCGGCTCAAGGGAGGAGTCTGCGAGGATGTCGCTCTGCAGCGGGGACTCTCCACCATTCTCCATCGACAGTGGCTGTACCGCCTTGCAAGGGGCAAGGAGAGGAGGCTTGCTGCAAAAACTTTCCGGATCCGCGCGTTACGGGACGCAAAAAAGAAATTGATGTATGTCGAGAGTCGCCTAGCGCGGGCGCTGTTGACCGCCTTACTGCCGGTTGCCACGAGCGGACTGGTGTGGCTGCATGATGGTGTATATGTGCGCCTTCTAGACTTCTAGATCTTGGGGGCCGGCTCAGCCGACGAAGCCGAGATGGCGGGCTGGACCCGCGGCTCCAGTGGTGCCGTCGGGGACGTAACCTTCACAAGCGTCCTCTTCTTCGCCGGCAGTGTCGGTTCCCGTCGGTGCGCAGAGCAGTGCTCCGCCAGCGTCTGAGCCGGAGACCTTGGTGCAGAGCGCCGTTGCGGAGGCCAATGGCCGAGCCGACGTAGACGGAGGCAGTGCCGCCGCAAACGAAGGGCCGAACAAAAGCGGGCAGCCGCAAAGGAAAGTACGGCTGACCAGTGGTGGGACCGCGAGGAAGCAGGCACGGCCTTCGCACGGAAGCGCGCAAGGAGTTTGACAAACGTGGCAGCTTCATGCAGCTTCAGTGCTCCAGCGGCCACCGAGCTCGAAGGCGAGAACGACGCGTTTGCATCGGGCAAACTGTCGGAGCTCAGGGTAGGTGCGCCCCTTGCCTTGCGGGAGAGTGCAAGTGCAGCGCCGGCAGTGCGACCAGCAGCCCTGCCCTGCGGGGGTCACCAGCAAAGGTCAAAGGGGACACGAGCATGGTGTCGACTTCTAGCTTCGAGCCTCCCCAAAGCGCAAATCCATCAGCAATGAGTTCGATGCGACGTTCATCCTGCCTGGCGACATCAATGTTGAGGTCGCGAAGCCGGAACAGAAACACAGCAACAGCCACGCTACCTGAGTGTCGGCAAGGAGCAACAAGTGGTCGAGGAGGACACTCTGTGTGGCAAGCAAGGCCTCACTGAATGCAGCTGCAGCAACGAGCTCCGGTGTGCCAAGGGGTACTCCAAGCGCAAAAAAAGGCATGCTGGGCGGAATCCAAAGCCAGATTGCCGACCCAAAGGTCGCTATCGGGCGCGAGCGAATCGACACCATCAGGGTGGACCCCGGCGCTGTTCCAAACGCGGGTCTTACCAGGGTTGAGGCGGAGCTGGGCACGACGCATTGCATGCTCCTCGAAACGGCGGTGCAGGTGGAGCATGGTGGAGCGCACGGTGGGGTGGAGCTAGGATGTCTACGTCATCTCGGAAGGCTGAGGCTTGCTCGTCAGGCCGGAGGTCTGCATGCAAGTCGCGGAGGGAAGGTGCAAACGCTAGAACAAATAATCCTGGCATGAGTGGATCACCTTGTTCACCGCATTCAGCTGTACTAGCGGCGTACAAACCGCAAAAGGGCTGAGGCTTGCGGCACCTCGCGTAGTGGAGACAGCATGGCTTCCCGGCTGACAGTGTTGAAAACAGCCGAGATGTCAACGGATAATACCGTGAGGTTAGGGTCAGCTTGAGTTTTGGCTGGCAGGGTGTGGGGGAGCGCCTCCGGCCCTCGTCGACAATGCATATTGGTGTGGGTGGCAAGCTGCATCAAGCCGTTTCGAGAATTGTTGAGCCAAGGTGCGAGCGACAAGTCTCCGCAGCAGAAAGCCCGGAACCAGCGACAAGCTCGCTGGAGCTTGTTTTGCAACCGTTGTATGTCTCAAGTGCATTGTGGGTCCGGGCGGATTTTGCAAACAAAAACTTGAATTCCTCAACCTGCCCCCCTTTGGAAAGTACGCCCTGGATGTCAGCTGCAGCTTGCCTCGCAAAAGAGATCGTGACAAGAACTACAGGAGGAAGATTACAGGCCTTCTTAGCACTCGCACTCCAGATTGCAGGCTTACTTATATCTCAAAGCCAAAACAACAGGATGTGTGCCGTAGGATGCAACCGTGTGGATGACCCTCCCCTTCATGTGAGCTTACCCCGGTCACCGCCCGACCAGTAAGCCCATGTCGACCTTTGCGAAGGGAAGCCTGGCAGCCTGCCAAACACTCCCACAAGTTTTTCGTCGCGTCACTTCACCGTCGTTTTCACACCCACGTCTTCCTGCATGCCTCTTTCCCGGTCTGTTGACAGGGAAACAACTGAAACAGAACTCGAACAAAAAGAAGCAAGTTCAGCAAAATCGCTGACTGCCTTTGACTAACATGCAGTGGCATCACTACCGACAAACAGTCTCAAACTTCACTGTTGCAACTCGCTCCTTTTAACGCACACTGCGCGAGGAGGTCCCCACATGGTCCTGGAAGAGAAAACAGAACCACCTGAGAAAAGAGACAGCGCCTTCGCAAGGCCCCCTTGGTTGCCTTGGGCACTGCTTGTGTGTAGCTCGATTACTGTGCAACACGGAGCCAGGAGCGGTGCTTGTCGGAGGCCAGACGAGGAAGTCTGGCAAAACTTGTAGTCGCGAATCTCTAAGAGATCGAGACTGGCCAGATGAGTGAATCTAGCAAGAGAGGTGTTTGCTAATCTCTCAAAGATCAGCACTGTGGTTAGGCTCGTCCTTTACTGCAATGCCGCGTGCTTCATAGTAGCGTTTCTGCTGCATCCGGTAGATCAGGCTCTTGCCAGCAGTCAGCTGACGCACGCTCTTCTGGGAGCTTCGATGCAGCAAGTCTACGATTGTCGAGAGCCACTCGAGCTTGTAGGTTTCCTGGCCACTATCGGAGACAGGGTCCGAGGGCAAGGACAAGACGCTCTCGGGCCAGGTCTCACGCATGAAGCAATGTGTGTACTGTTCGAGCAACTTCGCGTGAGCCTCCGACTTGCAAAGGAAGAGCACGGGGAGGCGCGTCAGCTTGACGCGGGCCCCCAGTCCCTGACGGTATTTCTGAAGCCGAGCGACCAATGCCGACCGCAGATTGGTTCCGTGACATTCGAAGCAGGTCTTGCCTACCTTCACGAAGTCGTCGAACACCAGACAGTGGACAATTCCTAGTTGCAATATGCTTTGCAATCGCAGTTCTCGCATGGCCTGTTGCCCAGTCTGTGCCATGTGTTCTCGGAGTCGAGGACACCGATGGCCCAGGAAGTCCAGGAAGTAGGTGCTGACTACGGACCAGTAGTTAGTAGATCGAGCCGTCTTTGGATTGATCTTCTGAAAGCGAGCTTGCACTGAGACAGGCTCTGCGGAACAGAGCGGGGCCAAAGGCCAAAGCTCATCCTCGGTAACATCCGGCACGAACTGGTGTTCCACAGCTGGTAGAGGCTTCATGTAGGGGCCGACCTGACAGGGATGAGAACGAGTGGCTCCAAGCAATTCTCAAATACGAGGTGTTTGAGACCCGCCCCGAGCCCCAAGCAATTGTCAATTACAAAGTGTTTGAGACCCGCCCCGAGCCCCAAGCAATTGTCAATTACGACGTGTTTGAGACCCGCCCCGAGCCCCAAGCAATTGTCAATTATTCGGTTAGTTCTTGCCTCATCCCTGTGGTCCAGCGCCAGCAGTTGCAGAGGCTCCAAGATCTCGGTGAGGGTTGTCTCCGGCATCTTCGGCTCGTCCTCGGCGCGCTTCTTCCTCTCCGCGCATTGCTTCCCGTAGCTGCTGGCTTCTTCTTCGGAGCTGACTGCTTGAAGATCTGTTGTGCAGCATGTTGTGACAGCTGGCTACGAAGGACACGGGGATTCCAAGGCACGCGCTCCTCCTGTGGAATGTGCACAACCGCCTCCTTGCCACGTCTTGCCCTGGGCCACTCTTGGCGCCACGTCCACGCGCGCACGCTCAGCGACTTCTGCACGGCTCGAGCCTCTTCGTATACAAGATGCGAACCATGTAGCAAGTAGCGGCCCACACATGCCATGCCGTGGTTGCTAAGTGTTTGCTCACGATCTCCAGGGAGCTTGTGGTCGCCCAAGCTCCCTGTATCTGCAGACAGCAAGCAATACACCATCCACAAGCTCCGACTGACGTCCCGGGACACCTCGTGCATGGAGAATGCAACCGTCTCTTCATACGCCTCCAACGGGATGTCGTAGTCTGGATTTTCCCTGAACAACGGCACTATATCCTCTGGGGGCAGTTGTGCCTCTATCAATCCAACAATCTCCTGTGTTGGTGGCGATGCCCTGCTTGCGGCAGCATTCTGCTGTGGCATCTCCTGAGACGGAGGGCTGAAGTCTCTCTCGCTGCGCCTCTTTCTAGGCGGTGTGCTAAAGAAGCCCTGGGTGTACTGGCTCGGAAGCATGCCGGGCTTCCCCGATTCAGGGTCCACGCACTCTGGAGCCGTAACGGCTTCAGTCTCCACCGCTTCTGGCCTGGCCTGCATCTGCTGCTTCCGTGACCGTTTGGCGTACGGAGTTGGAAACCCTGGCACCGTACTAGCCTGCGAAACAGCACTGGGAGAAGGCATGCCAGGGTGCCTCGAAGAGCTAGGCGAGTCCAGTTGTGTCGGAGCCACCGACGGCTCCCGTCCTCTAGGCGAGAGCTCCTCTTCTGCGGCATCCATCTGCGTGAACTCCCGCTCCAGCTGCGTGGGCGTCAGCTCCATCCTCTGTGCCACTTCTGTGCCCGATGCCAGTCCCAGGAAAAAGGACTGTCCTCCGCCATGGCTCCACTGCAATCCTATGCTTGATGCTGTCTCCTCGAAGCCTCCAAAGGCAAGTCTGCGGGAATTCCGCGGTATATAATTGTACCCTCCATTCCTCCCCCTTCCCTACCAACGGTAAGACTCGGCGGACTTTGGGGACCTCGCCTCGCTCTCGGCTCTCCGCGGCTAAACACTACGTCGCAGTTCGTGTGCCTTGGGCGTCGTAATCGCCGACGACTGGCGCGCGAGCGCCCCCAGAAGGAAGGAAGCCCAGTACGCAGATGTACGCAGCAGGAGTGTGTTTGATAGTCCTGCGCCGTCCGAGTCCGCCATGCCGCAAAGCAAGCTGCGCTCGTGTGTGGGTAGGTGGTGGCAAGTCGGGGGTAGTGTTGGCACACAGGAGCGCCGAAAGGCAGCGCAGCTCAGGTCGGAGCCATCGACGTAGGCAGTGCCATGGAGGGGCAGCGACAGTAGCGAGGCTGCGAAGGATTTCGCGGCTGCGAAAGAGAGTAGTCCGGACCATGCCTTCAATGGCTGCACCCGCGGCAGTGCTGTTGGCCCGCGAGTGAGGAAGCGCACACCGTGCCCGGCAGCGGGACAAAGGACTGATAAACTGGACTCTTCTGCGCTCCAGGGTCAGGTCAAAGCCTCGTGTTGAGACACATGGGCATGAAAAGCCACTCAACCGTTTCGCTGATGTGGCATATGTGTGAAATTATGCGTGAGCACTTTGTGCCGCCAAACTGTTGGAGCTTGGTTCCATAAGGTCTCTAAACTAAGCCGATCGCCGCATATATCCAGAGCCATGCGAAAAACTTCTGAAAGCCATGTTTGTTTGGGTCTACCCCGCTTCCGAAGTCCATCATGCCATCGCGGCTGAAACGTCCCATCATGGAAAATACATGTTCGCATGACATCCTCCCGTGGAAGTTGCGCGATGCGCCCCAAAAGTAGCAGCTGTCGGCGCCAAAGAATGATTGAAAGTTTCTCAGTGCCAGCTTCTTGTAACACAGTGTCGTTGCGCACGCGGCTGATGAATGAGTGTGGTATGCCAAGGATGGAACGAAGGCAACGGGCTTGAAAGGCATCAATTTTGCGTAAGTCAGCTTTGCAAAGCCAAGCTGTATGAAGGGAATACATCAAGCGGGAAACCACACAAGCCGAGAAGATTTGTAGCTTCTTTGCGCATGTCAGATGAGCATGCTTCCAAACGCGGTTCAATGCATCGAAATCTGCCTTGGCCAACCCAAGCCGACGGTTCACCTCTGAAGTGATGGAGCCGGACGCGGAAATCACACTGCCAAGGTAGACCAATGACGTTTTGTTCTTGATGGGTTCGCCGTTCGGCCCTTGGATGTCAGCATCACAAGCTATCGGCAAAGCTTCGGTCTTTTCCCAATTCAACGATAAGCCATATACTCTCCCAGCATCCAAAACTCGATACAAGAAGGATTCAGCTTGTCGTGGTTGCAGGCTCAAAATCAGAGTGTCGTCCGCATAGATCAAGTCATTGACGAGCGCTGGTGGAGAATCAAGGCCTGAGACGGATTGGAACTCCCAATTGGCATCCGTAAATAATACCGTCATCAAGATTGAAAATAGGAATGGTGAAAGCGGGCATCCTTGTGAAATGCCAAAGCATTGAATATGTGAGGCTGATGAATCACCAGACGCGCGGACTGTGAAAGTCCTGTTGCTGTAAATTGCCCGAATAAGGCCGCGAAACAAAGGCGGCAAACCAAATCTTTCGAGAGCATACAGCAGACCGTCGGGACTGATAGAGTCGAACGCTTTTTCCCAATCCAGGGACAGCATCACCAGAGTACCATTCCGGTCTGCCAATGTCAAGTCGAGCAGTCTCCGTGCAACAAAAATCGCGTCAGCGCTGCCACGCTTGGTGCGAAAAGCAAATTGTGTAGGCCAGATTCGCTCTTCAGCTCCAGCATTCTGCAAACGTCTAAGTAAGGCCATGGCAAACAATTTATAACCAGCCGATACAACGGTGATGGGGCGGTAGTTTTTGCACAGACCGGGATCACCTTTCTTGAAAATCGCCGTCACTGACGCGTCATGCCATGAAGATGGCACCATCACATGCTCACGGATTGCGTTGCAAAGTGAAGTGGCCCACCTACACGCGGGAGAAGTTCTGCGACAAATGGGTTTTCCAGAATTCTGCTGGCACGTGGTCGGTTCCCGTCGCTTTGTTGCGCCGCAAACGTGAGGCTACTGCAATAATCTCCTCATCATTGAACGGCCCCGTTTCAACTGGTATAGAGGCAAGCCAATTGGGCTATCAGTAGTTGCCATTGAGACGGGACGAACGGCCCATTGTACATCTTGAATTTTTTTTACGACTGCAAAGGTCGTCTCAAGTCCTCGTGTTACTACGGCTACGCGGCACGGTCCCGGGTTAGGGCCGCAGCGGCAGGCGGCTGGGCCCCTCGTTGGCTGCAAGGTCGAGGATACGGTCCAAGGAAGGGCCGTCACTCGGCCCCTGCTGCAGAGCAGCCGGCCAGGGGCAGCCAAGCGCAGTACTGGCCACTGCGAGCTGGAGTGTTCCACCAGCGCCTCGCCCAGCCTGCGGCCGCCGCGTGCCTGACTGCAGGGGGTGCGCGGAGAGCCCGCAAGCGCACCAGGTCGCGCACGAGCCGCTGCGACCCCTCATTCCACCGTCCACCTATCTCCGAGCCGAGGACCAGCAGCCTCTGTGGACCCCGCGCAAGCTCGGGATACGTGGACCTCTTGCGACGCTCGGCGGCTTTCATCGCGGCCCCATCAACCTCAACGGTGCAAGGTTGCGGGTGACCCGTCCGTGTAAGGGGGGACACCAGGGTCGCATCGCAACAGAGCGCGCCTCCGTGGGCCGTGGCGAGGCGCCTGCGGTCTGCCGAGGGTACGTCCGGGGCGGTCGTGCGCGCGAGCCATTGCTGCGGCACGACTTGACCTTCGGGGCCCACAGCCTCGCGGGCGACGCGCACCCAGGCACGCTCGACAACCTTGGCACGTCTCGGCAGCAGACCGGTCCTGGGGCAGGCTAGGGCATGGTCGCCTAGGGCGTCGACCGTTTCGCCACACCCTGGGTTGGGGCCGCAGCGACTGGCGCAGAGCGGTAGTGCCAGGCGCAGGCGTCGCCTCAAAGCAACTTGCATTGCTTGCGGTGGGAGGGTGGTGGAGCTTTCGCAGGGGATAGCTGTGAGCCATGCTCCGGCATGCGGCCCCGCCTGAGAGCGAAGCATCGCACGGGAACTGGGCGGCAAGGAGGGCATGACCACGCGTTCGCGAGAGTGTTCGGTGAGGGTCCGCGAAGCATGGTATTGCCAACCGTGCGGCCAGTCGCCGGCGCCGGGGTGCACTGGGAGGTTGGGGCGGGCGCCTTCGAGGATCGCGCGCCACGTGGGGCAGTTGCTCCATCCCTGGTCTAGCAAGATACGACGAGCGTACGCCGCTTCCGCTAGGCAGTGCGTGGCCTCCCCGGGCTCGGATTCGAGAAGCTGGACGTAACTGGCTGCGCACCGGGGCAAGCGTGCGTGTATGGCGGGCAGAGCGTCCGCCCAGGAAGCCCAGTACGCTGCCGGAGCGGTCGACTGAGCAGACTGCAACCCCAATCCGCCTAGTGCCCCCGGGAGAGCGGCCAGAAGTCGCGCATGAGCGGCATCGCGGTCGCCCACTCCCCCCAGCATTGTTTGCAGCATCTCCCAGATGGCATCGTCGTGTCCTCTGGCGTACGCGGCAGACGCCGACGGAGGCATGGTGCGGATGGCATGGTTAGCTCTGGGGGATGCGCAAAGCAACAGGAGCAACCAGGCACACTGTAGGTCTGGAAGCTTGGGCAACTGGTCTAAGAGTAGCTGCTCCGTGTGCAACTTCTCCTCAGTCCAGGCCTGAACGAAGGCCGGGTGCCCCACAGGCGAACCAAGGACAGCAACTCCTCGCTGCGCATCGGGCTTGTCGCCACGCCACACATCGTCGCCAAGTTCCGCGATGCCCGGTGGGGCCGGCCCTGCCTCTGCGGCGATGACGCGGGTCTTGCCGAGGTTGGAGGCGATGCCGCACCGGTCCTCTACGGTACGCACCGTCACGTCGAGGGCGGCTCTCGCGCGGGACGGCGACGTGATCACGTAGAGGTCGTCTAAGAAGGCAACGAGCGTGTCAGCAGGATGGAGTGCGTCCGCGGTTTGCTGGAGGGCATCGTGCTGCCCCAGGGCAAACAGCGCGGGGGCGAGGGCGTCCCCTTGTTCGCATCCTTCGCCTTGGCAGACATCCCGGCAGCGCCCAGCAGCGTCCCACCAACAGTATGTGGAGGGGCTACCGTAAAAGAGACGCACGAAAGGCAGCAACTCCGGGGCCACCTCGCGCAGTTTGCCGAGGAACGCTGCGCGAGAAATGCTGTCGTACGCGCTTCTCCCATCCAGCGACAGCAGCACGGCACCCGGGCGCGTCGCGAGAGCGGCGCGCACGTGAGCCGCAAGTGCATCGGTGCCGGCACGAGCCTGCAAAGCAAACTGGAAAGGCCGCGTGGCCTGGTCGAACTTGACGGCCCACTCCCTGGCGAGCGTTTTGGAGACCAAGCGGCGGAATGTGTCACCCGTCGCGATACCACATACTCCCCCGTCTGGCTTGCGCAGGGCAGTCAGGCGGGCCATGGCGAGCGCTTTGCACACCTCGGTTGGAACGCGGGCTTGCGCGAGGAGCGTGCCAGCTTCCGCAAGCAATTCGATGGCCTCGCCGTCTTGAAGGAGGAGCTTCAAATGTTCCGCTCGCATGCCCGAGAGACCGGGGGCGCATCCCCGACGAGCGCTACGGAGCGCAGCCGCGACTGCTCGCGTAGTGAGGTGTGGTGGCTGGTGAGGCTGGTGGCGCAGTACTTCCTGAGCGATCGCGGTACGCGGTTCCGGAGGACGGCGAGCTGGGTCGGTCAGCGCGGCCCAAGTGGCCTCGGTTCCTGGGGCGAGGTCGCA